AACGTTTTTAGTTTGCTTATCCGCTGTTTATCTGCAAAAGATGAAAGGATTCGTGAAGCCTCGCTTGGCCTGTTGGCAAGGGTGTGGAAATCTGTGGAGGTCCGTGTGTTATCTTTATTCAGGGTTCCAAGGCGCTGGGATGCTTACTCCTTATCAGCTTTCGGACATGCAAGAAAAGCAGCATGCGTTGTACATCTTTAATCTCCTGAAGAACCTTATCAAGCCCTCATCCGATGGCTCTCCCTTACGGTTACCTTCGTTTGCATCGTTGATTCTATCTCACGCTCTTCGTGGGGTGTTTTATCCTTCCAATTTTATCTACCCACGCACAGCACGTTTCCTTCTGCAGCGCCCAGAACTTGACGTGACAGATGTGCCAATGTTATATGGCATGCTTTATGGCAGTTCGGATGACTGGAAGAAAGAGCGTGGGTGGATCGTCAGGTTCCTGTCTGATGGCATGATGAGTACGGAAGATTGGAAGGTGCTCAAACGTCGACATACATGGGATCTTCTTTCCAGTCTTGTACAGAGCTCAGTTCGCGACCACGCGTTGCGACGTGCAGTACTAGAGGTCCGTAGCGCCAACACTCTCGCTGATTCTTAATTCAAGTTATTTTACAGGTGCTCGCTAACCTGACTTCTAATGTCCAGGCAACGACTTCTCTCGTTTTGAAGTCATCTCTTCTATCCTGGATCGAGATGCAAGTACAACTGCCACACAGTAATGAAGACACCCTTGCTTGGCTGAAGATCCTTGAAAACATTCTCGTCACAGCTAATACTGCAAAACTGCAGCGAGCTACAAACGGTCAGTGGCAAGATGCTCTGTGCAGATGTTTGTCGCTAGTTTTACAGAATTGCAATGGTATGGGACTTGCTTTCACTCCGTTTTGAAACTCATCCTCTTGCCCTGCAGCGCCGTCGCTTCCCATTCTCCAACAGGCCGCTCGCGTGATGCTACGATTAAGTCTAGCATCTCAGACCTCGACTTTTCACCTGTCGGATGTTTTCATGGCTGCAATCGGCATTCTCGAACAGCTGGAGCCTTGCATAGATTTCAGCAAGTCTAGTTCCGTCAACGGACCTGCCATCCTTTCTAAGCCGCCATACTACGGTCATGGGTTGCATATTCAACCACCAGTAGCTGGTCCCCTACGTGCATGGGGTGGTATTGTCGAAGACTTATGGCAGGCGAGTATGGCACTCGACGAAAAGTTCGTGAAATGGTATGCACTGACAAGCAGGCTACTATATTGGAGAGGTATCGTCGGTGAGGATGGTAGCCCGATGGGGGAATGGGCGAGACTGGAAGCTGTCCGAGTATCTATGTCATCGATAGCTAACTGTGTCCAATGAGCGCAGGGTGTGATAATTCATAGCCTAGAAAACGGGGATGCAGTGGACAAAATATCGAAAGTCTGTTCTCCCAGTTCGTTAGGTGCATGCTGAGGTACCTGGGGACAGACAATTACTTGATGTTAGAAGAAAGATGATCGTGCTGCATACCAGGTGTCCTGCATCATCGATTCGCGTGACAGAGGAAAATTGCCTGCCTGAAGCCGGATCAATCAAGGCATCCTGCACTGCGCGGGGTCTATAGCACCACCGCATGTCCATCCGTCAAGGATCGAGCTGGGTTTGAAGAAACTGCGTACATGTACTCATTGTTGTTTCCAAACACAATGTTGACGGGAATGTGTGGGCAAATCTTGTCCAAGTCTTGCACCGGTTTGGTTGCACCGTCTGGCTCTCTGTACATCGTCTGAAAGTGGAGCCCAGTGGGGTCGACAATCCTCCAGAGGATCTTGGTCGCGTACCACCTCTTCGTCACGTGAGCATGCTAAGCTGACGCCAGAGAGGAACATAGGCCGAGCATGGTCCGAGCGCAAGCTTGAACCGGCCAATGGGCGGCGCTGAATCAGCGCCCTGAAATATATGTCAAAGGGATAGTTGTTTTCCGTTCCATATTTTACTTACTATGAAGATACGCCTGATAGCGTCAAAACTTCTCAGTCTTTGAACCAAGCTGAGATGTAAGTACTTACCATGTTTATGTACGTCAGCCCTGACTGACGAAAACGTAACATACCTGGTGTTTTTCTAGGTACATAGCACAATTAATAAATAAAAGAGTCTTTGAACCAAGCTGAGATCGTACTGGTGTTTTTCTAGACCGTCTCTATCCCGCTCTACCTCTATTCACTAGAGGTCCCAGCGTTTACATCGCCTTCTTGATTTCAGGTCCTGGTACGCGTATTCTCTGGAAGGCCCCACGTCTCTTCGTATGCATGTTTAATGAGAATAAGGCACAATGGCTCCACGGCTTCTGCAGTTGGACTTAGCATGGGCACGCTGAGGATGATTCCGCCCCATCGCTTATCGTAGACACGAATGCGGTAGGGCGTAATACCATACCTAGTAGAATCAAAACCTTGTAGATATCGTTGTCAATCGCGATCACAATTGCAGCTAAACAGGTCGAAGAGTACATTAGCTTGTTTGTTTCTGCTTTATCATAGACTTTCTACACTGCAGATTCGCTTGCCAGTGCGGCCTAGTCGTTTGCGGCAGAAGTGGCGTTGATTTTCTGACCGTACGTCCAGGATGGAGTAGGTGGAGTACTAGGCATGGATATGGGGACTAGCTAGAGGAACTTGAAGAGAGCGAGCTGACCATGGATTTTTGTTGCAGATCGCATAAATATAGGTATTGGCACTGTATGAGACCTTTTGTCTTGGGCGTCTAATGATACAGGAATCACGTTGAGGCTGTGAAGAGAAGAAGCACAAAAAGGCCCACTGAGTACGTATACCTCTGAAACTTAGATCAAGATATCCACAAGCTTCCCAGCAAGTTTCGCTCAACTCGAGCAGAATGATGGAAGCAGAGCAGCCCGTCATTCGAATCACCACGGCTATTCGAACATTTGAAGGTCACAAAGATAGTGTCTTTGCAGTTGCAGTCTTCCCCGATAGACGCCATATGGTGACGAGCTCGTACGACAAGACACTTCGTCTGTGGGACTTAGAAGGCGGTGTTGTGTTGAAGACAATTGAAGGGCATCGCTTCAGCGTACGAACAGTTGCAGTATCGAGAGACGGGCAATTCATAGCAAGCGGTGATGATGGTGGAGAGCTCATAGCCTGGAATAGAGACGGCGAATCTCTCACCAAACCCATCAAAGTCCACTCCAAAATAATATCAGCGCTTGATTTTTCCCCAGACAGCACATTGCTGGCGAGTGGCTCATTGGACACCACAGCGGAGCTCTGGAACACAAAAACATGGCAGGTGGAAGGAGATCCAATCAATTGCGACACTCTAATCCTCTGCGTCCGATATTCGCCGTCCGGCGAAACTCTTGCTATCGCAACAAAAAACAATATCGAAATATGGAATCCGAGTCCAGGCAAGAGGGAATGCGTCGCAAAGTTTGAGGGTCACTCTGCGTTCAATGGACCAATGAATATGTCACTCATGTGGACGCTCGATGGCACACGGTTGTTCTCAGCAGATGACAATACGACATATCCCACCATAAGGGAGTGGGATTCATCGACCTGGCTGCAGGTCGGTGAGCCCTGGAAGGGCCATACTGGGCCTATCAACATGATTGCCTTGAACCCCACTGGCACCCTTCTCGCCTCCGCATCTTACGACCACCAGGTTCGCCTTTGGCGGCTTTCGGATCGAAGAACCATCGCCATATTCAAGCGCCCCAATCAGATGTTCTGTGTCACCTTCTCCACGGATGGCAAGCACATCTTGAGCGGAGGAAGAGATTGTATGATCTCAAAGTGGGCAGTACCTTTCTTGGAGGACATTTCCGAGGACCAGCGATCAGATGTAAGATTCTGTGCATTTTACCTCCCTCCTTTATCTCATAGCCTCCAAGGACGCGTTACGGAAAGACACTTTGAAGGAACAAGTGGCAGATAGTAACGTGAGTTCCTGTTCTTTGCCGGTCTCCTTGCCTGTTGATCCTCAATTTTGATGCCAAGGCTCAACAGTCTGATTGCGAGGCATGTTTCTAGCCTTCACTCTTGCCACGTAATTTGACCGTGCGCGATGCAGATCCTCACCATCAACACGACAGCTCGCAATGCATGCATAAGCGGGGACTTGCTCGCTGCTGACAGGATTTTAACACAAGATATAAATGCGGATGGCAACGATTACAACTCCTACGCGAATCGCTCGTTTGTCAAGGCAAGAAATTCAGACTGGGACTCTGCACTTGATGATGCGCACAAAGTGAGATAACTGTCGCGTCGTGACCTTTTTAACACAGACTTACTTACATGACGATATAGAGCATCAGTATTCAGCGATCCTTAATGGGCTGTATCTCGAAGGGCATAGCCCACTGTGGAAAACGACAGTTCCAAGATGCGATGAAAGCATTTGACCTCGCCTTCATGTACGTGGACGCAGACTTGGATAAAACTCGTCTGCTACTCTTGATTAAGGTATGTCAATTGTCCCTCGTGTACTCGCTACTCAGACGACAGCTATTAGGCCATCGCCCTTTTCAATGCAAATCAACGTGACGAGGCCGTTCTGCGCGTCCAAGAGCTAGCTGCCACTCGTCCTGATCCAAATTCTCTTGCGTGTGGTATCGTGGAAGTGGGTGCTCCTGCCAGTCAACTCGAGATTCATGCGTCGATGCTGATTTTGTGAACCTCGCACGTCAGGCTTATCTACACCTCCAAATGGGAATGAACGCATTAGACGACGCACGTCACAATGAAGCGGCTGACCACTTCACTGCTGCTGTCAACACCATTGATTTCTCGTCTATGTCGGCCACTCATTCTAGATATGATGTCTTCGTGGTGGTAGGTTGATTTCAATGCACTGGAAATAATTTTTTTCGCGCCTTTTTCTAGTTATTTGGGTGGGACCTCAAGTCCTTGTGGCGAACTGCACACCAGAATTGGTGCCATGCGTTGCTTCAGACAGGTAGACTTCCAGAAGCCATCAAAGCATACCGATACATGATGGACAAGGCTGATGAGGCTACGAAGGCACGATGCCTTGATTGGTCCACTGGCAAGTCTTCATGATGTCCACCAAGTACAAGTCGTAACCTCATTTTCACTTAGTTTTTAAGCAAGATTGCAGTATGCTCTATGCTGCCGCTGGAGTGGCTGACCTCACTGCGAGCGGAGATACTGCCCTCGCTGCAGGCGATTACGACAGGGCTATCGAGCTCTACTCTACGACGATCGAGCTCGATTTGGCATCCGGTACAATTTTTGCGAACCGTAGTAAGGCGAGGTCGGGAAAAATGCTATGGGACGATGCACTCCTTGATGCAGAGAAGGTGTGATGACAGCTACCATTTCGTATTCAACACTCATTTCGCTGATACACAGGTGATCGAACTTGACCCCTCATCTTACTTTGGATATCAGTTGAAGCATGAAGTACTTCACGGCGCACACCGATATGACGAAGCGATCGACGCATTCCAAACCATGCTCTCCCAGTTGGAAAATGCTGCTGACACACAAACACACAGTACGGTCCCAAATAAGCACAGCCTTAAACATGCCTGACTCTTTTTTCAGGGCTGCGCCAACGATACCTTAATCCATCCAAAGCAGAAGGAGTTATTCAACAGACCATTAATGATCACCTCGATGACGCCCCGCATCGTATGCTGAATACCCTTACTGGGTGCTTATGCGATCGACAGGCACAGATCGGTGCCTTCAAAACGAGCACAGAGTACAAGGAGCTTTTGTCATCGACATTGATGCATGCAGAACTCCGAATGGAGCGCATTAAAGATGTCGTGGCGACGTACTTCTGTTGTGTCACGCTATCGCATCGCTGGGAAGGGAATGAACCGCTGCTGCACGACGTCCAGGACAAGGTCGTTGATGAGTTGAATCCGGTTGGGGGCATCATAAAGTTGCAGTCTTTCTGTAAAACTGCTCGTGCTGCGGGGTATCGCTGGGTGTGGATTGATTCATGTTGCATCGACCAGGCCAATAACGTCGAACTCCAAACATCGCTCAATTCCATGTTCGACTGGTATCGCACCTCAGCGCTCACGATGGTCTACCTATCAGATGTTCCGCCATCGTCAAAACAAGGTGCTTTGGCAAGGAGCTCATGGAACACGAGAGGATGGACCGTACCTGAATTCCTCGCTCCAAAAGTCGTCCGCTTCTACCAAAGCGATTGGACTTCGTATCTCGACGACCACTCTCCCAACCACAAGCAGTCTGTCGCGATCATGCGGGAGTTGGAGGGTGCGACGGGGATAGATGCACAAACCCTTGTCGCATTCCGTCCTGGAATGATAAACGCCCGTGAGAAACTTCAGTGGGTGTCGACCCGTGTCACCACAGTGCAGGAAGACATCGCATATTCATTATTTGGTATTTTTGGTGTTCGGCTTCCTGTCATGTATGGTGAGAAGAAGCATAACGCGCTGGGGAGGCTCTTGCAGGAGATCGTAGCTCAGTCGGGCGACATCAGCGCCCTGGACTGGGTGGGGCAATCATCCGAATTCAATAGCTGTCTACCAGCCGACATTACATCATACAAAGCTCCACCACACACCCTGCCATCGTTGTCCGAAAATGACATTCAGACGTCAATCTCCCCGCTCGGACATGTCGCGGCTGTGGATTTGGCCTTGAAACTTTATGTCCTGCTCGACGACCTGAACGCGCCTCGTTTTGGGAACTGCAGACTGCATCTGCCTTGCCTTGCATTTCGTGTCACAGCAGTCAAATGGAGTCGTGCCGAAGACCAGGATATATATGAAGTTAAGGCCGACGGGCTTCATGACCTACTGATCACAACGGAGGACAAGCTGAATCAGTTCTTATCGCCACGACCCACGATGCAGACATTCTTACTTGTTCGTCCGTGGAATCGGTTTCTCCTCGGGCTTCCTGACTTCGCGGAGCAGTCTGGCTTGGCAGAGCTGCCTGACATTGTCGATGACACGCAGAGTGAAGATGATTATTGGTCTGCACCCGGGTCTCCATTACAGAATTCCTCTGGTGGGTTCTCTGGAGCACAAGAGTCGGTTGATCCCGAACTGAGCGATCGAGCCTTGCGATTAGTTGCTCGCCTTGGGCAGCCTTTTGGAGCATTTTTGCTAGCGCAGCAGCGCGGCGGAGAATACAAGAGAATCGCGTCAGATCATGCTATTATTGCACAAGTCCAAGACCTTTCTTCTATTCCAGACATGGTCAGGACCCTAGAGATATTGTAGCGGCATGGGTTTTTGGTGTTATTGATATCAATGATCCAAGAGTATGAATCTGACATATGAGACGATCAATACCCACGGAACGTCCTGGAAGGTGGTATACAAGAAACGATGCAACCGGCCAATTTCATACTCTCCAACCATAAGTTGCCCTGTGGCTAGGCTAAGACTAGAAATTGGATGAATGAGGAATATAATATGAGTGACGAGTGCCCTGTTACTATTCCGAAATTGTTCGGCTCCCAAAGATGCAGGGGAACAAGGTACGTGCAAAGATTGAATTACATACCAGGCCAGGACTCCAGTCACTGGCCTTCAACACGTAAGGCATAAAATGTAAGAATGCAGACCCGATGACTATATAACATCTAACTCTCCAAGCAGGTTACGATGTGCACCCGCAACGCACTCGCTGCAAACGTTCGCTGACAACTTCCACAAACCTCCAGTAGTTCGATATGCTCATACTTTGTTATTCCTCTGCCCTCTACTAGTGACTGCAATATATCCTGTTCCGTCATCGACAGACTTACTAGCTCATTGGGTGAACTGCTGGTGGTATGCACATCGGCAGCAGGTAGGAGTGGGGTAGGTGGACGACGGGCACGTTGTCGATGCAGTGGCGGCATATTTATAGCTACAGTAGTGTTTGTGTTAATACTCAATTGTTGAAAGAAAACACTTACCTGAGAACCGACGCCGAGCAGGAGCATTGCGCTGTAGGATGCAGATCATTGTTGACAGCTACCGGCGTAAACGACGGAAGTTATGTCACATTTCAGGGAGTTAGTTTGTTCCCAACCTCTTCGTAGACTCGCCTGTGAACGACGCCCTGCAGGAACAATCAAAAATTCAAGCCAACGGCAACCCACTACTGCGAGTTGTCGTGCTAGCCTGGTGGAATATGTAAAGAGCAATGGAAGAGGCGTCTTCCATCTGTCATGGTACCAGCGTGCAGTATGCCGACGTTCGTTCACTGCAGATGATCTCAGACGCGAGGTTGAGTCTATCAACGTATCTCTCTGTACGCACGAGATCGTATTACTTATCACAAACATTTCGAGGGAAAGACTGCGGCTGCCATGAGAACTTCCAGTTTGAAAGTGATCTTTTCGGTACTGACGGTGATGACAGGAATACTGATCAAAGCACCCGCAGTGGTCACTGGATGAAATTAGTCTTCAATACATATTCTTACGAATCAGCAGCAACATTCGAGCTTCGCCCAGTCTGCTGTTCAGGGCATCGTTGAGTTGGACAACCGTAAATTCATGCTCGGTACTAGGTATAAAAATTGAAAGGGAATGAAAGAATAATGGCACACTCGATCGTCGGTGAGGATGGTAGCCCGATGGGGGAATGGGCGAGACTGGAAGCTGTCCGAGTATCTATGTCATCGATAGCTAACTGTGTCCAACGAGCGCAGGTGGTGTGATAATTCATAGCCTAGAAAACGAGGATGCAGTGGACAAAATATCAAAAATCTGTTCTCCCAGTTCGTTGGGTGCATGCTGAGGTACCTGGTGACAGACAATTACTTGATGTTAGAAGGGGGATGATCGTGCTGCGTACCAGGTGTCCTGCTTCATCGATTCGCGTGACAGAGGAAAATTGCCTGCCTGAAGCCGGATCAATCAAGGCATCCTGCACTGCGCGGGGTCTATAGCACCATCGCATGTCCATCCGTCAAAGATTCAGTTGGTTTTGAAGAAACTGCGTACATGTACTCATTGTTGTCTCCAAACACAATGCTGACGGGAATGCGTGGGCAAATCTTGTCCAAGTCTTGCACCGGTTTGGTTGCACCGTCTGGCTCTCTGTACATCGCCTGAAAGTGGAGCTCAGTGGGGTCGACAATCTTCCAGAGGATCTTCGTCGCGTACCACCTCTTCGTCGCGTGAGCATGCTAAGCTGACGCCATCGTAGGGCATTTTCAGGTGACGTGCGCCTGGGTGAGTCCGGAGTCCAAATTTCTACAAGATTATTAGGGTGATAATGTAAGAGAGCGATAAGAGGATGCAGTACGATATACAAATCCAGGACGCGCGGGTCCCAGCGTTTACATCGTGTTCTTGATCTCAGGTCCTGGTGCGCGTATTCTCTGGAAGGCCACACGTCTCTTCGTTCGTATGCATTTTTAATGAGAGTACGGCACAATGGCTCCACGGCTTCTGCAGTTGGACTGAGCATGGGTTCCACGAGGATGACAGAAGAAAATTTGAAGGCCGGTTCGAGGTTCTGTAATATGGTTCTAAAACAAAGACCTGTAAATGGAGAGGGCGCATGTTACGAAGAACAAGAAGCTAACATAGCAACTCCACCAAGAGAATGACCTATTCCGACAAGACGCTGGCTTCGGAAGTCAAACATTGGTCTGGCAGACATGAATCTATGGACAGCATCTGCATATCTGCGGCACCCGACTTTTCTAGTTCAACCGTTTGTCTATTATCGTGCAGTGAAAGGAACTCACAGTCGCGGTAAAAAGGTGCCTGCCTAAGTGCGTCATCGTTGAGAGCAGCAGATACACCATGGTTGGGGCAGTCGATTGCCCACGCGCATTTGATTTTCAACGATCTTGATGAATTTCTGGAATGAGCTGAAGAACGCTGGAAGATACGTTCCAGGGTAGGTTGCCAAGTCTCCTTATGAAAGCTAGTCGAATGAAGCAAAACAAGTGTGACTGCTTCCTTGTCGTCCCAGTGAGCTTCGAATTCCGGTAGCCAGTACTTCTTGGCAGTGATGTACAGGGGATAGTGTTGATCAGGTTCAAGTAGAGCTTCACATTCCAGCAAGTTTGATGTGGGCGACATGTTGGGCACTATTGTTACTCGGTGACGAGAACTACGGTGAAGCGGCACGTGGGTGCCGTAAATGTTGAAGCGTTTCAGTTTCTCAGCATGTTCACAGGGGCTCGTGGTCGAGTCGAAGTTTTTCCCCTCCAATTATTTTTCTTGGAGAAAAGCAAGCCGGTGACTGCGAGTGCAATATGTGTACTAGTAAAGTTGTCTGCGTGTTGAAACGAAACGAGCATATCATCATGATCTGTGCTGGAAGCAGGGGTTTGAGAAGCTCGACTAGGAAAACACTCGGTACCGCAGAATGGCCTTCACTAATTTCAAGTCTAGATCGCCCTAGGGTTACTACTCGGACTCACGACTAGCCAAGCCTCAGGAAATTATCCAGCACGTGATCGGGTCGCGGTGTCCTAAATCAATATATATAAACGCGTCTTTGCATTCGGCTAACCCTGTTCCGAAATTCTCTCCTTGTTTTGAAGATTTTTCGACCTTGACGACACACCAGTCTTACTAGCTTGATGGTCAGTGTGATCCTTTTTTTTTTCTTTTTTTTTCAATACCTCTATCATAGAAGTTCTATCTTGCTCACTCAGCTTTGATTTAGTTTATGGTGCGTGCTGGTTGGGACTTGTCGGAATATAATTCCGCTAATGGGTTTTGCAGTTTTCTGGTGGGCGTTCTGGATCGGCCCCCCCTCCGAGTGACGCAGTTACGAAGAACAAGACAAGCAAGGTAACATTGCAGAAGCCTGCTGTCCGTCAGCCTTCCAGGCTACATCCGCTTGCCTCAGGCATGGCTTCGACCATTCGCAGGACCTCAACATCGACGAAACCAATTCCGTTTACTTTCAGGACTAATGTAATGAACTACATTTCTGTAACAATCAATCTGTTACTGAGGCTCTAAAATCCCATAGCTTCCTTCGAGAACTGACAGGTCGACTCTCTCACCGAAAACAGACAAGTCGGCCAACGCCGAGGTACCGCCTGTGGTACTTACAAGTTGCACTTGAGAATTTATGCAACCTAATATCTTGACAGGCAAAGGACTATAATGGAGTAGAATCCCCGGAAACAATCGACGAGCCCATTTACGACCTTCACATGGTGAAAGCCGCCAAAGTTTGTTCTTCCTATACCCGTTGATCTTCTGCTTCTCATCGATGTAGGTGGAGTTGAAGCATCTACGGAGTTTGACAGTAGACGCCTCAGACCTCAGTAAGGACCACGAACTACAGACCGCGCCTCTCATTACAAGAGAAGCGTATATTGCCGCTGGATACAAGAAACATTCCACACAATACGGAGTAATGGGTCAGGTGTTGTCAATATGGTAGGCCGTTTCTCTCTTTATGTATCCCTAATATTCAAATTCGGTACAAAGTTCAAAATCAAGTACCTACGTCCCTGTAGATCCTAGACTCTATGTCAACACGGTGAGTCTCTCAGATCGACATCTTGCCTGTGTATCTCAGGAGTTCTCCAGAATACACCGTTTACTGCTGTAGTGTGTGGAGTACAAGGCTCTGGAAAATCGCATACAGTTTCGGTCCTCCTCGAAAACATGCTCATTCCGAAACTCCAAGAAATAGGTTCCCTGCAGCAGCCTCTAGCAGGACTCGTCCTTCACTTTGGGGATGGTGGTGTTGGTTCCCTTCCCAGTGAGGCTGCATGGGTTGGTGTCCCGTCAATGAAGGATGTAACGACGCCGAAAGTGCGAGTCTTCGTGTCCAAGTCTTCTCTTAATACTATGAAGAGCGTTTATGCCCCTCTTGGAAAGAACGTTGAAGTGGTTCCCTTACTGTTCAACGAAACAGAATTGGATGCACAAGCTTTTCTATCTATGATGGCTGTCGGGTCGTCAGATTCCGCGCCACTTTACATCCAGATCGTTCTGGTGAGTTTTAAATGACAGTTCATTCAAAGTATGTTGTAATCTGACTGCTTCTTTCCAGAGCATTCTTCGAGATTTGGGAGAGTCGTTCTCGTACGGCCGATTCATGGAGCGACTTGACTTAGAGAAAAGATCGTTCAACCCCGCGCAAATTGCCGGTCTTGAGCAGCGCCTGACCCTCCTGAATTCGTTCATGGAGCCCAATCGTCCACAGTCGACCACTTTTGGTTCAAAGACGCACGCCAATATCAGCGGGCCCAGATCAAATGCTATTGCTCCCAAATCGACCCCACATCGTTTCGCTGCGGGACAATTGACCGTTGTTGATTTATCGGATCCATTCATTGACCCAGGCTCTGCGTGTGGCTTGTTCGAGATTGTCATGAGGCTATTCGTGAGGGCTGAGATTGAAACTGGAAAGGTTCTTGTCGTAGATGAAGCCCACAAGGTATTTCGCTTGATATCTCATTAAAGTTGTGTCATTCTAATACACTATAGTACTTGTCCACAAACAGAGGGGTTTCGGGGCTAACCAAGGCCCTTTTGACCCTCACAAGAGAGCAGCGGCATTTAGGGCTGCGGGTCATCATTTCTACCCAAGGTAATTCAAGCCCTCGGTTGGACAGGGAAGCAGTGCTTATATAAATGCAGAGCCAACTGTGGTGCCACCTGTCTTGTTAGACTTGTGCACCGTCGCTATCATGCATCGATTTACTTCACCGGCGTGGTGGGACCACCTCGCACGGCACATCTCTGCTGACGTGTCTGTAGATGCAGCATTTGACACAGTTGTTAAGCTTCAGGTGCGTCGAATGTTTGAACAGGGGACCTTCGCTAATGTACTGCAAACATTCAGACTGGCCAGTCGATTGTTCTTGTGCCATCAGGGCTTGGCGTGTTCCCCCAGGATGTAGAAATTCCCGGCACTGAATGTGATTCCCCGATCATCTTGAAAATGAGCCAATTTGAGAGACGTTACATTATCATGAAGACGCGCGCTCGCGTCACGAAAGACGGAGGATCGTCGGTTCTTGTTGTCCCTCGTGAAGAAGAGAGTGAAGAGTCTGAGAGCGAAGAGGAGGCATCTGAACCCGAGGAATCTGAGGATGAGGATGAGGATGAGGAATAAGTTAATAACATATCTTACCTACTAATTATTGATAGACGTCATGCTGATTCTTATGAATACCTACTTCATTATAGTCTAGTTCATATAAGCATTTTCATAGAGATTGTTTTCGTATGTTTACCAAAGCCTTGTAAATTCAACAAGAACAAACCGTGAACGTTTGAACAACCCTGCCGCAGTGCGTCACTCAATACCAAAGCAGATAGTTTTTCCTATTGTTCGTTGTCACTCATCCAGTGCATTTTTCCTATCATCTTGGTTTGTCTTTAGGCCATGGCTGCCAACGTCAGAGTGCGGCGTCCAGCTACTCCGCCGCCCGGTCTTCCACATGTCGTTCCTTCATCTCATAAATATCCTCCAACGCGACAAGACCACTTGAGCGCAGATGAACGGCGTGAAGCAGCTTCCAAGGGGTATGGACCTGGGCGAAGAAGTCATTCGCCAGGTGGTCTCAACATCACATCTGGGGAATGGAAACTGCTGGCAGTTGTGCTTCTAATTGCTGTTGGCGTCAGGATGTTCCGAATATCGAAACCAGACAGTGTAGTGTGAGTGTACCAGATATTCATTCTACTTATTTGACATATCTGCCAGTTTCGACGAGGTTCACTTTGGCAAGTTTGCGGCGCGCTATATCAAAACGCGGTATTTCGTCGATGTGCACCCTCCACTCGCAAAGTTGCTGATCACTGCGGCGGCCTTCGTATCTGGCTTTAACGGAGATTTTGAGTTCAAGGAGATTGGGAAGTGAGTGTGTTAGAAACGATATACTTCTGTTGTTGAGCACGCATTCACTAGAGTCTTTGAAAATGCCCCATATGTGGCCATGCGGATGGTCCCCGCTACGTTCGGAGTCGCAACTGTCCCAATCGCATATCTCACTTTACGAGCTCTTGACTGTCGCGCAACCACTGCACTACTAGCATCAATATTTCTGACATTCGAGAACGGACTGGTCACACAATCTCGCCATATCCTGCTGGACTCTCCCCTCGTATTCTTCACGGCCCTCACCGTCTTCTTTTTTGTTGGGTTTTCGAATGAGGACAAGAAGGAGCCATTTACTGAGCAGTGGTGGACATGGCTCACTCTGACTGGTTTGTCCCTGGGCGCTGTCGTATCCTGCAAATGGGTCGGTCTCTTCACAATAGCGACAGTTGGTGTGTGCACTATGTTGCAATTGTGGCTTCTCTTGGGCGATCTTCGTGTCAGTCCAAGGATGTGGGCGAGGCATTTCTTCGCGCGGGCTGTTTGTCTCATCTTGATACCCATCCTTTTCTACATGACCATGTTCCAGTTGCATTTCCTTATTCTTGGAAGTTCGGGAGAGGGCGACGCGTTTATGAGCTCGGAGTTCAGACAGACACTGGGGCGGGGGATGGAGGACACGTACGCAGGTCCGTATATTGTAGTGATGCACATGGATGTGCTTATTTCATGTTATTATAGATGTTGCCCTTGGTTCAGATATTACAATCCGACATCTGAACACGCAAGGCGGTTATCTGCACTCCCATTCTCACAACTACCCTGGAGGAAGTGGACGTACGTATGACCTTTGTATAATCTCATCTCTCATTGAATAGCTGGACAGAGCAACAAATCACACTTTACCCGCATAGGGATGATAATAATCTCTGGCGAGTGTTGAACGCAACAGTCGATAGTTATGAACAGTACGACTACGAGCACAAACCTATCGTGTATATTGACCACGGCTCCCGCATCAAACTAAGGCATCTCGTGACCGACAGGGCTCTCCATTCGCATGAAGTCCGCCCGCCCGTCTCCGATGTCGACTTCCAGAATGAGGTTTCAGCATACGGCATGCCTGGCTTTATCGGCGACATCAATGACGACTGGATTGTTGAAATCGAAAAGGGAGACAGAAATGATAAGGAGTCAAGCAAACGCTTGAGGACTTTGAGAACGCATTTCAAGCTCAGGCACCTGAATACAGGTTGCTACCTCTTCTCGCACAAGGTGAAACTCCCCGAATGGGGCTTCGATCAGCAGGAGGTTACATGCAACAAGAACGCTGTTAAGGCCAACTCGCTATGGTACGTCGAGACTGCTACGAAGCATCCACAACGTAAGATCTTTGTATCACTATAATCGGGTGCATTCTCAGAACCACCTTTCCATAGTACCGGCTGATGCTCCAAAGGTCAACTACAAGATTCCTGGATTCTTGTCTAAATTCTGGGAGCTACAGCAGGTCATGTGGACAACGAATGCTGGATTAACTGACCGTCACATGTATGACTCTCTACCTTCGACCTGGCCTCGTCTTCGCCGTGGTATTGTGGGTTATACGATTCAAATTCTGATCCATATCTGATTGATTGTATATTAGAATTTCTGGGTCAAGGATCATCGCCAGATCTACCTAATCGGTAATCCATTTATCTGGTGGTTGAGCACGGCTTCAGTCGTCACATATATGATCGTCAGAGGCTTCCTCCTACTTCGCGCGAAGAGAGGATACCGCGATTTCGACAACAGTGAGGATTAGTGCAGTTCGGTCTCGTGCCATGCTGATTCGGGCGACCTGTTTTAGCCAAGGTTGTCAAGTATGATTCCCTCTGCGGTTTTCTCTTTGTCGGGTACTGTATGCATTACTTCCCCTTCTTCCTTATGGGCCGTCAACTCTTCCTTCATCACTACTTTCCTGCGTTGTATTTTGCAATTCTGCTTAGCTGTGCTGTTTTCGACCTCGCCACATCGACTCTACGACCAAAGATTCGATTACAGATCGCTGCGGTCCTTATGATGATAGCGGTCGTTACGTACTCGAAGTTTAGTCCCTTGGCGTACGGCAATCCCTGGACAAAAAAGAAGTGTACGAACGCACGGTGGGTGAAGACTTGGGACTTTGCCTGGTGAGTTTTGGATGTTGCACCATAAGTTTAGGTTTTGACGAGCATTTGCCAGTAACGAGTTTTTCGACGAAGTGAGTCTTATATAATTCAAGGAGCACTCTAGCTAAACGCCGAACAGTACTCTCAGTATTCAGGTGTCAGTGTTCCTACTTTGAATCGGTCCACCCCGATGGCAACCATTGGTGGTGAGCCCGGCGGGCGCGCGGCTATTGTGGTCGAGGACAAGCTCGGGCAAGATGGGGTCGTGCCGCCCGAAAACGAGCAGGGCACCGCCGTCCCTATTGGTGTGCCGGAGCCCGGGCGAGATGTATTCGCCAAGGACCAGCAGAAGGAAATCAAGAGCCAGATGAGGGTGTTGAAAGATGTGCCGGTTGTTGATGTGGATAAGGAGATTAGCGTGGTGACATTTGAACCGACAAGTGCAGCACCCGAAGAGCAAAAGGGGGAGGTTAAGTTGCAAGCAGGCGACGTGGGTGCTACCGGTGAGTCAGAGGACCAGACGCGTCCTGAGGTCATCGACATTCTGGAAAAAGAGATCGAGGGTGAGGATGTTGACAATTATGGGAAACCTCACGGGCCTCTTGACCACGAGGAGGCCATTGCAGATCAAGTGGCGCATGAGTTGTATCCTGAGGCCAGAGACGCTGAGTAAATTATTTAATTTGTTGCTATAGATGTGTTGAGTGATGGACCTATGCCTATATCCTCCTTCTGATTGATGCGTACCCTATATATGTCACAACACGCTGCTTCTGCATCGCAACCCACGGATCCCCTGCGTTCACCTATCATACTTGAACCAAATCAAATACATCCTTGCACTAGAGTATAGGGCTAGGTCTGACATACTAGGGTCTATGATCTCAATTTAAAGGACAATAAATTGTATTTTTTTATTATTAAAAAAGCAACAGGGTCCCATTCATGATGCTGGCTGATTATCAATTTCTGGGGCCAGGCCAACGTAAATTAACCGTAAATGTTTTTACGTGGATATAACCCACTCCCCTGCGGTAGCGGGAATAACGATTATGGTGACATACGAGTGTTTTGGGCTGTGCCATAGGTTTTCGGCAGTCTACTTAGTGTAGATATATCGGACATAACCCGCTCCCTCATTATGTAATACGGAGTGGGTGACTTTCCATATATTTCGGAGTCTCAGTACCTACTTCTCGACGACGACGAAGAAGAGCTTGTCAGTGACGGCAAAGTTCACGAGTGTGCTGACACTCACTTCAGGAACGGCAGGGACAATTTCGAGCAGGATTGGTTAGAGGTATATAACAGATTGAGCCAGATTGGTGGCAGGGCCGTACAAGCAATCTGCTCCTCTGCGGACGGTTGAATGTCGAACCCTCTCGCATTTCATTACAGCAGTAACCAACAGTAAAGTACGTTCCCTGTCTCTCTTTCTTCATTTGTGTCTGAACACAATGCCCGAATGTCGCGACAATTTCACACCTGACGCAAACACATCCCCCTTGCTCACGCCCCGCATCTCACACACCGCCTACATATGCAATATTATCATCCAAATCATTATTTGTGGCCTCATATTGCCATCAGTCAGCTTGGTTTTGCTCCAGCTTCTTAAACCGATCCCTCCCACGAAACCCTCGCCGCAATCCCATCCAAGCAGATACATCTCGCCCACAACATTTCCATTCTCCTCTCCCTGTCCTTGAGCGCGTAATAAAACCTTAATCCCTGCGCCAATACCACACGTACGCCATCTTCCATCAACAACACAGGCACGCGTACATTATCGATGTGCGCGACAGGCGACACTTCAAGTATTCTTTGGAACATGGCGGGCGTCACAATCGAATACATGGTAAATTGGAGCCCGAATCCAGCGCAGGCCCAGCCGGGGATGTCAGACGCTGTTAGTTCGCCGGCACTGGTTACGGGGTTGACTAGAGTTATGTTTCTGTACGATGGCATGCATGTCTTTTGGCTTTACGTTCCGAGTAAACACCTCGCCTATCTCATTCACCTGCAAGGAAATTTCGTCCGGCTTGGTGGACTTCATGTTTTGAGGGAGAGTTCTGGTGGACTAGAAGAAGGACGTAAGTTGCATTCAGCATTTGCACGAACGAGGGAACTCAATGTCAATGATACAAGGCTCGACGGAAAGACTGCTTATTACCTTGCACTGGACTTGAAAGACACTGGAGTCTGAGAATTCCTGATCGATAGTGTCTCAGACCGTGATAGATTGGATGTGATTGGCAGTGCAATCCACGCTACTGTGAAGGACAACTCACATGTACAGCCTACCCGATTGCCCACCGGCACTGCACTGTTGAACCGGAACGCGATCTTCGCTTTACCAATCTAAATCCATGCGGAAATGATACGAGTGCTAGCGCTAATACTGACCATGCATACATCAGCTGCTGCACACGCCATGAACATGCTGCAGCTTGCAGGCATGAATGTTTTTAATCTTGAACGTCAACTTGAACCCATTATCTCGTACTATCCTCCGCCCTCTGAATTTTCTCATTATTATAGTAGAGGTATGCAGCTCCTTTACATGACTATCAACCACCTTAATCACACGGTTTATGTGAAACCTACAGGCGTGTCGACTGCTTTTCAATTTGCTTGACTGAATTTCTAGAACTGTACCATATCGTAACTTACTAGAGGTATGTACCAGCCAGCCCACAAGTACTTGGATCACAGATTGATTTGATGTGACTCCTGTAGGTTATCCTATTGATTGAGACACGAGCCATGGCTCAAGATAAACCCCGGCGCAAGAAGTGTTTCACGTGTTTCAGGAAGACTCGTTCAGAAATTCGCCAGGTTCGCTTGCTTCCATTCCCTCGCCTTCGTATCTGATATCTCTGCAGCTCCCACTACCGCTCGGTCAATCCCGCAGAGGATGTATTGCCTCACTTCGTAGCAAGGCCAAAAATCTTTTCACTCGACGTGCTGAATATGAATATCCCACCCCCTCCGAGCCCCAACTCGTTTCGGCTGTGGTAAACGTAAGACGGGTGGGTACTGTTTTGAGTGAGTGTGGACTGCTATATGTCGCTAACTGGGACCATGGGTAGTATTATTTGCCTGTGTTTTGGATTTTGGGATACTTGATGTTCATCACATCTTATTTCACTCCCAGTCGTTCACCTAGTATGTTTCCCACATTACCGAGTTAGTAAAATATGGTAGACTCATAGTCATGAAAGAAGAATTTATTTGTACGCTACTGATGCTGGTGACTAGCCGAGCAGAATCTTTTGATAAACGGGAAGAGAATAAATCAAAAGTATTTGAAGGTGGCGGTAGGGATGATCCGAAGACAGCGAGACCGGATATCCAAAGGAGCCAGTGAGGGGTTGGATAAAGAGACGGTGTGGTTGATTGTTGTTGTAAGTGTGCTGGAGAGCGGGAGGCTGGTATCAGAGTGCGCGGCGCACTGTACATGTGTTGCAACAAGCAGCCGTGGGAAACAACAAGTGTCGATCCCCGCACTTGTTTATAGATCTTCCTTGCTCGCTCGCTCATGTATTTCTGTGTATTCTCATGCATTCTCTTCATGTTTACATGCCAAACCAAACACAGCTATCAGGATCGAACTTCCATGGAAATTCGTACGGCTTTGCGGAAAAACGAAGTGTATAACCCATATATAGAAACGTCCAAACGAGGTCGGCAACTCGGTGGGGCCGAGGGACAGACTCGTACGTTCAGCGCTTGATTCAAGGGTCTAATCCACGTGTGTACGCAGCGAGTCGTTCCAGAACTCGAGTAGTATGTAAGCATAGTACATGCACGTTTGGGCTGTGTTGTACACAGCTACTAGTACTTATCAAGTACTCCTCCGGACCTACTCTTATATCCCCTCTCACTCATCCTCTGACCCGGATCTGGTCAAAATGCCCTCCTTGATGGTTAAGGACTTCAATCTGGGCAAAACATTCACAGTTCAGTTAAAGCATGAGTGGGGCGGATGGTCACGGTGCTACAGAGTGTTGCAGAGGGCTGCAGAGTGCTACAGAGCACTCCGTAGCAAATTATATTTCCCTGATAGTAGGCGCCTCACAAAGAACGGACGTACAAAATATATCCCTAGTGAGCTTCCCATTCCTTCATCCATTCTTGAATTCATCGCTAATTTTTCTGGCGAGGGATGCAGGTCTCAAATTCTCTATCAATATTTCCTCCGCCAGATCCTTCCGTCGCTATTCCTCTGCCCGAAAAAGTTCTGACATAGTTCAGACATACTTTCCTCTCATCCGAGGCATTGCAGGTGGAATTCCATTGGCCGGTCCTCCGATACAAGCTACTATCAGTGGATTATTGTCAATCCTTGCAGTCATAGATGTGAGAGCTTACTTAATTACCAGGATGTTTCTTGATTTAGAGGCCGTCGCAGCAACATAAGCAGAATAAGACTGACCTGGAGGACCTGAGGTTTCGACTTTATCGACTAAGCTCACATCTGTGCAACGCCCCGACCGCCCATGATCCCTCGGAACAAGACCGGAGGGATGGCATGATTAGGTATATCCCTTCTTGATATGTTACTCGACATTGAATGTGTTTAGCATTCTGCAAGAGACATCTTCCAAGCTGACAGAGTTGCAAAAACGTCGTTTCGAGTATCCATCCGTCACACGAGCTATCGCCAAATGCTCCAAAGGAATCGACTGTTTTATGTTGGACTCTCTGGTTGTCTTTTACTTTTCATAAATTTGTCAGTATTTACTCATTACTTCTGATTGGCTAGTGGTCGCTTCAAATGCAAAATCAACACGATATCCACGAAGGGTTGGAAATTATACAGGGGCAGCTGTATTATGTGGGTTCCACCGCCATGCAGTTGGCCGCTGCCGCGGGTGTCGCACTTGGCTGCATTATTGGATACTTGACTCATGTGCTATCTCTTACTAACCGTGATCGCCGTCATGATAAAGACCATAAGTCCGAACAGAAACTTATCGAAGGCCCTACCACATGACATTCCCGCCACGCACTATCTAGGCCAATCATTTACGGTACATATTTGGGTCATCTTGTATCATCAGAACACTTCAGCACTCATTGTCTCGACACTACTGAGATGTGCTCAGACCTAGTACCATACTTAAACGTTAGTACTTATTCTCGCTACTGTGCATCATATATGACGACGTTTGGCTACCAAGGACTCACCCTCCGACGCGCTGTAGTACTCGGCCTTCGCACACGGTCAACTGTAGTGCACAGGATTGTTCGCAACATTCAAGCATTGTGTTCAGACACAAATGAGGAAAGAGATACTTTAGTCTTGATCGGACCAAATTTTATTACCTTTGGTAAGGAAGCTTTATTTATATATTCTGACTGCCTGGTTGCCATCGCCAGTTGGTACTGCCACCAATCTGGCTCAATCTGTCATAGTGTCTACAATCCTGCTCGAAATTTTCCCTGCCGTCCCTGAAGTAAGTGTCAGCACACTCGTGAACTTTGCCGTCACTGACAAGCTCTTCCTCGTCGTTGAGAAGTAGGTACTGGATTGCTGCAAAGACTGTCCGACTGGGATAAGCTGATGACTGAGCGTTACGGTCAGAATTTTTCGACAGAAGTACGATTCACAGATTTCAGCTGTCATTACACCAGGGTGACATAGTACAGGTGCATTGGGCTGTGTCATGGGTTTTTGGTAGAGATGGATTTATGTAACTTGGACCTACTCCCTTACGGCAGCGGGAATAAGTAACCTCGATGGTGACACACAAGCTGCGTAAATTTCGGTTGAATGGGTTCTAATAAATTACTTTGAAGATCCTGACTTGTCAATGTTGTACGCGCGGCTGCACCCGTCATGTTCTTACTGTCCTTAACTATCCTATCACTGTTACACATCCCGTTCGTTTACTCCTCACTATTGAACCTCAATGACGCCAGTGTCACTAGTACACTCGATGTCAGTGACCCTTTATCCTGCAGTAACACCAGATCCTCGTGGGATATCATCTGGAGTTGCTCTGCAACTCTATTCGCATGCACATGGACTGCGATTCACCCAAACATCCCAGGTATGGACGAGGGGAGGCTCACTGTTTTTTCTCGTCGCCTAGGCATCATGATGATGGCGCTGGTCGCCCCAGAACTCATGATTACCTGGGCCACTCTGCAATTTCTAAGTGCTCGTGACACTGCAAAGGCCTTCAATGATAGTGCACAATTTCACCAAATCCGCAGCGACTATAACGAGAGCACAGTTACTGTGATGTCAACATGGTCTGGAACAAACAATCCACATCCGAGCACTCGGCATGTTGCAACTGACGCTTTTAAAGGTCGGTCACCTGCCTGGCCCTTCAGTGCGGTAAACTAAAATTCGTTCAACGAATGCCTTACAGAGTGGACAGTGACGCATGGTTTTTTCGCATGGATGGGCGGATTCATGCTCTACTGCAATGACAAACCGCAAACCACTCTGACACCCAAAGAGCTTAGGCAATTTGTTGATAAGGACTACGTGGAAATGTCCAGCATCGCGGAGGCAGACATAGAAGACCGAAGTAAGGGTGATGCATTGTCAAAAAGCATCGCCATTCTTCAACTGGTGTGGTTCGTCCTCCAGCTGGTCGCCCGTTACGTTCAGAATCTTCCGGTGACACTGCTTGAACTCGACACCCTTGCTGTGGCTGCCCTGACCAGCATTGCCTATGGCTTTTGGTGGAAGAAGCCTAAGGATGTAGGACGTACCCATGCTGTTCATTGGAAAGACACTGCTCAGAGTCTAGCACTAGCCCACGAGTATGTTGTCAATGTCCTTACTTGAGTTTGTTCTAATCCACTTGCATCCTAGTAAAGTAGATATGTCATCCTCTGAATGGGGTGATCTTTTACTCACTTGTATCTATCCCTGGTCCAATCTTATGGGTTCTGGCTCATACAATTCCTCGCGTGCTGGCCACTCACGTCGGGTTCCGCCTGTAGGTGGTTACGAACATGACAATGACCGTCATAATCAAATCATACTTTTCGTTGGATGCTTCAGTGGGGCAGTGTTTGGAGGTTTGCATTGTCTGGGTTGGAATGCTTTGTTTCAGGGACACGCGGAACAGGCACTATGGCGTGTGGCTTCCCTTGCGATACTTTTCTCACCAGTATTTATTCTTCTGCTCTTCAGCTGTAACATTTGGCTGGGTTTGAACGAACTCATTGCATTTTTTGCTCTATATCTCAGCTTTCTCGTATATGGTGTTGCACGCATTACACTAATCATACTTATATCGATAAGCTTTCGATCGCTACCTCCTGGCGTGTACGATACAGTAGCTTGGACCAAGTTTATTCCACATCTGTAGTTTCCTTTTACTGAGATTACATCCAGAGAACAATTTAGGCATGTCGATCGCGGATGTAACTGCTTTACAATGATTGTCGTTGATTGTGATGGTTGTAAATGACATCAGGTTTGAAATTTTGAAATATAGTCATGATCATTACGATGCAGAAAGTAGGATATATCAGGGCTTGCTAGTGAACTATAAAGGTTTATGTTAGGGATAACAAATGGCCACAGACTCTATCAGTGCCCGTCTCGTATATGATCCATGGTATATGTTACCAAAAAAAATGGTTCCTTCGTTCTACTTCATGCTGATGCGAGAGTCGTCGTCAATGCCTCCTGTATCTTCGCCTCCTCCCGCGCCCATGATGGAACAATGATCCTGTACGCATCTCCAACGCGGCGTATGAGATGTCGCCCACACGGGAGACAGGCTTGAACTTTGTGAGGTCGATGATGCCTTTGATTGTGAGCATGTCTTTGCGCACATGGAAGTACTTGACGTGCGCGAGGATGAGCGTGCTGGTGTGCTCGCCTGTGACTGGGTGTGTGATGTCTATTGATTTGTAGAGCTGTTGGGAGGCGGCGTTGTTAGCGAGCGAGCGGGCTCGATATGAAATAAGATAGAGTTACCTCGCACTCCATGCTAAAAGCGCTTTCCTTGACGCGCGAGGCTCTTATTTGCACCTGGACATGTTATTGTTAGCGCATATACCATATCTTCAAGATTGCATACATACACATTTCTCTTTTGTCAGACCGCTGAGAGTCCACTCGTCGAAGCCGAGAGGAGCGTCTATAGCAGTTGCATTTGCATTCTCTACGAATGCCTCGCTGATGATGTTCACGGCGAATCCTTGGCCGTTCTTCAAGTTGGTGGTCGTATCTTTGAGGTGGCCGGGGGATTTGCGGTTGACTGAGAATGAGATGACAGGCGGGTAGTTGGTGACCTATGGGAAGAAGTTATTGAACCATTGAAGGGACGTGTTGTATTGCTTACTGTATTGAACCAACTGTTGAATGAAAATTAGGTAAACATGCAGAACGCGTTAGATAATGAAAGCGTCTTACCTGAAGGGTGCTATGTTCTCTATGCCATCATCGCTAATTGTGGACACCAATGCCATGGGGCGTGGTACCACGCCTGAATTCAAGAGCTTGTTGAGATTGCTGTCGATCATGGTCACGATTATGGCTGATCGACAGGTCGAGGAATACGTACCTTTTGTTTATTTCTGCTGTATCATAGACTTTCCACCCCGCAGATTCATCTGCAAGCCAGTCTTTTCCGGCAGGAGTGGTATCGACTCTCTGGCCATATGTCCAGGATGGATTGGGTGATTGGGTGTAGGTTGAGGATGAGGTGGTATCGAATGGAGGGATGTACATTGTGATTGTGGATTAGTTGATTGAAGAGAGCGAGACTGACCCTGGATTTATAGTTACATGGTGGTCGAGGCTGGTCTTCACGCATACGAGGCCGAAGCGATGGATGATGCTGGCTTACTAGGCTATTTCATTGAAGTTGTAATCATCATGGTGTTTGGATCGGACGATACGTCGACTCGGATCAGGATAACGAGTGCATGACCTCCGAGTCCGAGATTGAATTGTCAGCCCCAGCGCTAGATAGGTGAGAACTTACGAACTGGTTGAATGATACACCTAGTACAATTCCCACATTCATCTTTGGTTTTGCGGGCGTATCCTTGAGCCGCAATTACGAAATAGCGTAGTCAGCATCATCCGTTCAACTCGCTCGAAGTCGGCCTCGAAGACCAGCCCCTTAATGCCTCCTGTATCTTAGCCTCCTCCTGCGTCCATGATGGATGGGCAATCCTGTATGCATCTCCAACGCAAGCATATGAGATATCGCCCAAACGCGCGAGAGGCTTGAACTTTGTGAGGTCAACGACGCCTTCGTCTGTGAGCACGTCTTTGCGCACGTGGATCTACTTGACGTGCGCTAGGATGAGCGTGTTGCTGTGCTCGCCGGCATTTGCGCCTGAACACCCTGTTAGTGCATATATCGTGTCACAAAGGTGCACGCATACACATTTTTCCTTTGACAGACCGCTGATAGTCTACTCATCGAAGAATGGAGGGGCGTCTATGACGCTTGCATCTGTATTCTCGACGAATGGCTCGCTGATGATGCTGGTTGTGTCTTTGAAGCAGTCTGAAGCACTGTGGTCGTATGCAAATGATAGGCGGTAGTTCGTGACCAATGGTTATACCATTAAAGAGACATGTTGTTTGTGCACTGCTTGTTGTAATAAAGCAACTGGTGGATGCGACTCAGATGAACGTGCGGAGCGCGTTACATACTAGAGGTGTGTCTTGCTGGAACAGTAACCAGTTCTCTACGCCCCCTCGCTTATCGTAGACATGAATGGTAGGGCGTAATACCATGCCTGGAATCAAAACCTTCTAGTTATTGTTGTTGATCACGATCACGATTGCAGCTAAACAGGTCGAAGAGTGCATTAAATTGTTTGTTTCTGCTGTGTTATAGACTTCCTACGCTGCCGCAGATTCGCCTGCCAGTGCGACCCAGTCTTTTCTGGCAGAAGTGGTGTCGATTTTCTGAGCGTACGTCCAGGATGGAGTAGGTGGAGTAGGTAGCAGAATAGAATGGAGAGATGGGTATGGGGACTAGCTAGATCATAACTTGAAGAGAGCGAGCTGGCCATGGATTTTTGTTGCAGATCGCATAAATATAGGTATCACTGTGAGTCTTGTCTCGGGCGTCTAATGATATAGGAAGCACGTTGCGATTGAGGCTGTGAAAAGAGGCACAACTTGTCAGAAACTTACTAGATCAAGACACTCACAAGCTTTCCAGCAAGGTTCGCTCAACTCGAGCAGAATGATGGAAACAGAGCAGCCCGCCATTCGAATCGCTACGGCTACTCGAACATTTGAAGGTCATGACAATAGTGTCTTTGCAGTTGCAGTCTTCCCCGATAGACGCCGTATGGTGACGGCCTCGTACGACAAGACACTTCGTCTGTGGGACTTAGATGGCGGTGTTGTGTTGAAGATAATTGAAGGGCATCGCTTCGGCGTATACACAGTTGCAGTATCAAGAGACGGGCAATTCATAGCAAGCGGTGATGATGGTGGAGAGCTCATAGCCTGGAACAGAGACGGCGAATCTCTCATCAAACCCATCAAAGTTCACTCCAAAGAAATATTTGGGCTTGATTTTTCCCCAGACAGCACATGGCTGGCGAGCGGCTCATTTGACACTACAGTGGAGCTCTGAAACACAAAAACATGGCAGGTGCAAGGAGATTCAATCAATTGTGGGACTGGCGCTCAAATCACCTGCGTTCGGTATTCACCATCTGGTGAACATCTTGCTATCGCAACAAAGCTCAATATCCAAATATGGAATTCATCCAAGAGAGAATGCATCGCAAAGTTCCAGGGTCACTCTGCGTTCAATGAAGCATGGAATCTTTCACTCGTGTGGACGCCCGATGGCAAACAGCTTGTTTCGGCTGGTAACACACTTGATCCCACCCTACGGATATGGGATTCATTGACCTGGACGCAGGTTGGTGAGCCCTACAAGGGCCATACTGACAGTGTCTACATGATTGCCTTGAACCCTACTGGCACCATCATCGCATCCGCATCTTACGACCTCCAGGTTCGTCTTTGGCGGCTTTCGGATCGAAGAACCATCGCCATATTTAAGCACCCCAATAAGGTGTATTGTGTCGCCTTCTCCACGGATGGCAAGCACATCTTGAGCGGAGGAAAAGATTGTACAATCTCAAAGTGGGCAGTACCTTTCGTGGAGGACATTCCAGAGGACCAGCAATTAGATGTAAGATTCTGTCCATTTTACGTCCCTCCTTTATCTCATAGCCTCCAAGGACGCGTTACGGAAAGACACTTTGAAGGAACAAGTGGCAGATAGTAACGTGAGTTCCTGTTCTTTGCCGGTCTCCTTGCCTGTTGATCCTCAATTTTGATACCAAGGCTCAACAGTCTGACTGCGAGGCATGTTTTTAGCCTTCACTCTTGCCACGTAATTTGACCATGCGTGATTCAGATCCTCACCATCCACACGACAGCCCGCAATGCATGCATAAGTGGGGACTTGCTCGCTGCTGACAGGATTTTAACACAAGATATCAATGCGGATGGCAACGACTACAACTCTTATGCGAATCGCTCGTTTGTCAAGGCAAGAAATTCAGACTGGGACTCTGCACTTGATGATGCGCACAAAGTGAGACAACTGTTGCGTCATGACCTTTTTAACACAGACTTACTTTATATGGCGATATAGAGCATCGGTATTCAGCCATCCTTAATGGGCTGTATCTCGAAGGGCATCGGCCACTGTGGAAAACGACAGTTCCAAGATGCGATGAAAGCATTTGACCTCGCCTTCATGTACGTGGACGCAGACTTGGGTAAAACTCGTCTGCTACTCTTGATTAAGGTATGTCAATTGTGTCTCGTGTACTCGCTACTCACACGACAGCTGTTAGGCCATCGCCCTTTTCAATGCAAATCAACACGACGAGGCCATTCTGCGCGTCCAAGAGCTAGCTGCCACTCGTCCTGATCCAAATTCTCTTGCGTGTGGTATCGTGGAAGTGGGTTCTCCTGCCGGTCAACTCGAGATTCATGCGTCGATGCTGATTTTGTGAACCTCGCACATCAGGCTTATCTACACTTCCAAATGGGAATGAATGCATTAGACAACGCACGTCACAATGAAGCGGCTGACCACTTCACTGCTGCTGTCAACACCATTGGTTTCTCGTCTATGTCGGCCACTCATTCTAGATATGATGTCTTCGTGGTGGTAGGTTTTCAATGCACTGGAAATCATTTATTTCACGCCTTTTTCTAGTTATTCGGGTGGGACCTCGAGTCCTTGTGGCGAACTGCACACCAGAATTGGTGCCATTTGTTGCTTCGGTCAGGTAGACTTCCAGAAGCCATAAAAGCATACCGATTCATGATGGATAAGGCTGATGAGGCTACGAAGGCACGATGCCTTGATTGGTCCACCGGCAAGTCTTCATGATGTCCACCAAGTATAAGTTGTAACCTCATTTTCACTTAGTTTTTAAGCAAGATTGCAGTGTGCTCTATGCTTCCGCTGGAGTGGCTGACCTTACTGCGAGCGGAGATACTGCCCTCGCTGCAGGCGATTACGACAGGGCTATCGAGCTCTACTCTGCGGCGATCGACCTCGATTTGGCAACCGCCACAATTTTTGCGAACCGTAGTAAGGCGAGGTCGGGAAAAATGCTATGGGATGATGCACTCCCTGATGCAGAGAAGGTGTGATGACAGCTACCGTTTAGTATTCAACACTCATTCGCTGATACACAGGTGATCGAACTTGACCCCTCATCTTACTTTGGATATCAGTTGAAGCATACAGTACTTCACGGCGCACACCGATATGACGAAGCAATCGACGCATTCCAAACCATGCTCTCCAAGTTGGAAAATGCTGCTGACACACAAACGCACAGTACGGTCCCAAATAAGCACAGCCTTGAACATGCTTGACTCTTTTTTCAGGGCTGCGCCAACAATACCTTAATCCATCCAAAGCAGAAGGAGTTATTCAACAGACCATCAAGGATCACCTCGATGACGCCCCGCATCGTATGCTGAATACCTTTACTGGGCGCTTATGCGATCGACAGGCACAGATTGGTGCTTTCAAAACGAGCACAGAGTACAAGGAGCTTTTGTCATCGACATTGATGCACGCAGAACTCCCAATGGAGCGCATTAAAGATGTGGTGGCGACGTACTTCTGTTGTGTCACGCTGTCGCATCGGTGGGAAGGAATTGAACCGCTGCTGCACGACGTCCAGGACAAGGTCGTGGATGAGTTGAATTCAGTTGGGGGCATCATGAAGTTGCAGTCTTTCTGTAAAACTGCTCGTGCTGCGGGGTATCGCTGGGGGTGGATTGATTCATGTTGCATCGACCAGGCCAATAACGTCGAACTCCAAACATCGCTCAATTCCATGTTCGACTGGTATCGCGCCTCAGCGCTCACGATGGTCTACCTATCAGATGTTCCGCCATCGTCAAAACAAGGTGCTTTGGCAAGGAGCTCATGGAACACGAGAGGATGGACCGTACCTGAATTCCTCGCTCCAAAAGTCGTTCGCTTCTACCAAAGCGATTGGACTCCATATCTCGACGACCACTCTCCCAACCACAAGCAGTCTGTCGCGATCATGCGGGAGTTGGAGGGTGTGACGGGGATAGATGCACAAACCCTTGTCGCATTCCGTCCTGGAATGATAAACGCCCGTGAGAAACTTCAGTGGGTGTCGACGCGTGTCACCACAGTGCAGGAAGACATCGCGTACTTCATTATTTGGTATTTTTGGTGTTCGGCTTCCTATCATGTATGGTGAGAAGAAGCAAAACGCGCTTGGACGACTCTTGCAGGAGGTCATAGCTCAGTTGGGTGACATTAGTGCTCTAGATTGGGTTGGAACGTCATCTGAATTCAACAGCTGTCTGCCTGCTGACATCACTTCGTATGAAGTCCCGCCGTACACGCTGTCATCTATATCCGAAGATGAGATGCAGAAATCGGTCTCGTTGCTGCAAGGCACTATGGTCGTCGGGTTAGCTTTGAAATTGTACAGCTTGCTCGACCGCTTGAGCGCTCCACGTTTTGCTCACCGCCGGCTGCATCTGCCATGCTTCACATTCGCTGTCACGGAAGTTAGACGGAGCATAGGACACGAGGAGACCTACTTCATGTATAAAGTCAAGGCAGACGGGCTTCATGACCTGCAGATCACCACGAAGGATAGGTTGCCTCAGTTCTCACGAGGAAGACCCGCTCGACAGTCATTCTTACTTGTCCGTTCCTGGGATCGTCGTCTTCTCGATCTGCCTGGCGAAGCAGACGATGTAGAGAGCGTGGATGATTTTGATCGCCCGGGATCGCCCGGTGAACAGGACCTAGGTCATTCAAAGTCAATCGAGCGTGCAATGGGATTGATTGTTCGCCTTGGACAACCGTTCAGCGCACTTCTGCTAGTGCGGCAACGCGGCGAAGAATATAAGAGAATCGCGTCAGATCGTGATATCATTGCACAGGCCAAAGATGCAAATTCTTTTGACAGTATGACGAATCTCAGGACATTAGAAATATTGTAGCTGTATATCACGGTACTCGTTTTTTTACATAACGGAAGAGATAGGTATAGATATCTCAGCAGTCTTCATTCTCGACATTTCCTCCTCTATACATGTACCCAACTATTCTCGTTCCATTACCACAGATAGGACAAAGTTGAAACTGTCGGACCCTCCTTCAAGGGTCAATCCAGCCATTTGGATAGACAGATCATTTGAAATACTGAGCAAGGCCACATTGACGTTGCACATATGTAATTCATTCTTGAGATCCAGCCGATGGGTATTGGGAGTCTCTTGCCTGCGATGGGATGTCACGAGACTTGAGAATGAAGACGCGCGTTGATACAATGGAGCTCATCAGGAAGTTCTTGGCCCGAAGCTACCGGAACGACAGGATGAGTCAAGGTATCGACAACAGAATGAGATCACGAGGAAATAGTAGCCATAGTGCGAGGATTCAAGGCGAGACCGTTGTAAACTTTTAGCAGACCATCATACCGAAAACAGTACCCTTTACAGGGTCCTGGAATCTTGCAATGAATTTAGTCATGATGGGCGCGTCAGTCATCATAGAGTCTACCAGGTATAAGAATTCCTCGATTACGCATAGATGCTGATATCCATCGCCCATCTTACCCATGATCTATGGTATATGTTACCAAAAGATGGTTCCTTCGTTCTATTTCACAGCGATGCGGGAGTCTTTAATGCCTCCTGTATCTTAGCCTCCTCCTGCGCCCATGATGGACGGGCGATCCTGTATGCATCTCCAACGCGGGCATATGAGATATCGCCCAAACGCGCGACAGGCTTGAACTTTGTGAGGTCGACGACGCCTTTGTCCGTAAGCACATCTTTGCGCACATGGATGTATTTGACGTGCGCTAGGATGAGCGTGTTGCTGTGCTCGCCTGTGACTGGGTGGGTGATATCTATGGATTTGTAGAGCTGTTGGGAGGTGGCGTTGTTAGCGAGTAAGCGGGCTCGGCATTGAATAAAATATAATTACCTCGCACTCCATGCTAAAAGCGCTTTCCTTGACGCGCGAGGCTTTGATTTGCACCTGAACACCTGATTGTCAGCGCATATACCGTATCATCAAAGTACACGCATACACATTTCTCCTTTGTCAGACCAGTGAGAGTCCACTCGTCAAAGTCGGGAGGAGCGTCTATAGCAGCTGCATTTGCATTCTCGACGAATGCCTCACTGATGATGTTGACAGTGAATCCCTGGCCGTTCTTCAAATTCGTGGTCGTGTCTTTGAGGCGGCCCGGAGCGCTGTGGTTGACTGCGAATGAGATGATAGGTGGGTAGTTTGTGACCTGTGGGAAGAGGTTATGATGGGACTATTAAGAAGACGTGTCGTTTGTATTGCTCACTGTGTTGAACCAACTGGTGGACGTAAACAAGGTAAGCGTACAGAGCGCGTTAGATACTAGAGATATGTCTTACCTGAAGGGTGCCAGGTTCTCTACGCCATCCTCACTGATCGTGGAAACGAATGCGATGGGGCGTGGTACCACGCCTGAAATCAAGAGCTTGTAGAGATCGCTGTCGATCGTGGTCACAATTGCGGATTGATCAACATGTCGAGGAGTACGTACGCCTTGTCTGTTTCTGCCGTGTTATATACTTTCCATCCTGCAGATTCGCCTGCGACCCATTCTTTTCCGGCAGGAGTAGCGTCGACTTTTTGACCATACGTCCAGGATGGATTGGGTGATTGGGTGTAGGTGGAGTAGGAGGTGGTATCGAACGCAGGGATGGACATGATGGATGGATGGATTGACAGCGAGACAGGCCCTGAATTTATAATTACATGGTAGGCTCTAGCTGAAGCGCTGACTGCTCGCTTCGCTGATAAAGGATGATAAATATAGGCTGACTACTACTACGCTATTTGATAAGCAAAAGACGCAAGTTGTTGCCATTCCTTGTCCAGCCAAAAGCATTTCCTTTCTTGAACAACATGCCACGCAGCCAGTGTTCTTTCAGTCTTACTATATGTATGTAGTCATCCTTCGACGTTGGGCTGCAGCCTCACGGTTGACACCAATCTTCAAGCACTAGCCCGGCCATCACCACAACAGCTTTGTCGAACGGGTCGAAATGCTTTTCTTGTCTGGCCAGATCAAACATGGTTCCCAGCCCCATGAGAACGTTGCTGTCAACAGCCATGTTAGTGTCATTTCCTCGGCTCGTAGGGACCATCATTTACATGGATATTATCTGGATCATAGTATGTAATACAGATGAGCCGAAAGAAAAGAAGATACTAATCATCCTTCGATGTCGGGTTGCAGCGTCGTGGTCAAGAAGGGATATGAATCAACTTGAAGGACATGTTTTATATCGTTCACACCAATCTTCAAGCACTAGCCCGACCATCACCACGACAGCTTTGTCGGAGGGGTTGGAATACTGTTCTTGTCGTAACTTGAAGTTGTGACACCAATGTAACCAGCTGCTGATCAAACATAGTTCCCATGCCCATGGGAATGCTGCTGTCAACAGCTCGTGTAAGTGTCCTTCCCCGTGAAGGATTTGATGACCACCATAGTAGGCTACCCTGCAACGTGGCAGTCCTAATCAAGCACACTTCAGCCTACCACGTCTCCGCTCTGAGTTTCGTTTTACCCTGTGATGTACCATTCCCAACCCATCCGTCCCTCTTGTCCAACTGTGCTTGATGGAGACGATGACACAGCATCCCGTCTCCCGCTGGCGTACCATACCTTGGGGCCCTGCACCTTTGTCCTCTAATCCTCATTTGCCGTTGAACGCTTCACTCAGCATGCGCTTGAGATACGACAGATTCTGCATCGGCAGCAAGTCAACGAATTCATGAAAATTCTCGTGCATGATAGCATTCCATTGACCCGGATGATCGTCGTCGTTGCCTTGGGATGGTATCTCAGATATGATCAGTGTATAGGTAGGCCGTAAAACACAAGAATTTTCATTTCCATTGTCCAGATAGTCAGAACCTTTAAGTTTAGATGGGAAGTTTTATATTTACCAAGTTATCATCTTGGTTTATGTTCATGGAGATATTTCCTCGGTACAGATATGGGATGTACGCATCAGTGAATTCAAAAGTTCTCGATAGCAGATCGCAGCGGTCTGAATGCCCCGTGTCCTTGGCATCTCAGGTTGAGGCTGTGGAGAAGCACAAATAGGCCCGGTACAGGCACGTCTTAGATCGAGACTCTCACAAGCTCGCCAACAAGTCGCGCTCACCATACCATCCACCTCGAGAATGACAGAAGCAGAACATCCTGCCATCCGGATCACCACGGCTAGTCGGATATTTGAAGGTCATAGGCATAGTATCTTTGCAGTTGTAGTATTCCCCGATAGACGCCGTATGGTAACGGCCTCATACGACAAGACCCTTCGTCTATGGGATATAGAAGACGGTGTCGTATTGAAGGTAATGCAGGGGCATCGCTTCGGCGTACGAGTAGCTGCGGTATCAAGAGACGGGCAATTCATAGCGAGCGGTGATTTCGGCGGAGAGCTCATCGCCTGGAACAAAGATGGCGAATCCCTCACCCAACCCATCAGAGTCCACTCCAACAAGGTTTTCTCGCTCGACTTTTCCCCAGACAGCTCATTTCTGGCGAGTGGTTCATTGGATACCACCGTGGAGCTCTGGAACACAAAAACATGGCAGGTTCAAGGAAATCCAATCAATTGTGAGACTGAAATCCGCAGTGTTCGGTATTCGCCGTCCGGTGAATATCTTGCCATCGCAACCAAGACAGATATCCAAATATGGAATCCACGCAAGAGAGAATGCATCGCAAAGTTTCTGGGTCACTCTGCGTTCAACGGAGCATGGAATTACTCACTCACATGGACGTCCGATGGTACACGACTGTTCTCGACGGGCTCCAGGCTAGATCCCACCATAAGGGAGTGGGATACATCGACCTGGAAGCAGGTTGGTGAACCCTGCAAGGGCCATACCGAGACTGTCTACATGACCGCCCTCAACCCTGCTGGCACCCTTATTGCGTCCGCATCTGAGGACAAACAGGTTCGCCTCTGGCGGCTTTCGGATCGATCAACCATCGCCATATTCAAGCATCCGGGTCAGTTGTATTGTGTCACGTTCTCCACGGATGGCAAGCACATCCTGACAGGAGGAAGTGCTGTTATAATCTCAAAGTGGGCAGTACCTTCAAGTTTGCTGGAGGACATTCCCAAGGACCAGGCATCAGATGTAAGATTCCGTTCATCTTCCGTCCCTTTTTCATCTCATTTTCTACAAGGATATGCGGAACGACATGGAGGAACAAGTGACAGAGAATGTGAGTTCCCGTTTTTTGCTAGTCTCTTTGTTGATCCTCAATCTTGATGCCAAGACTCAACATTTTGATTGTGAGGTATGTTTATTTCCCTCGCTCCTACTACGTGATCTGACCATGTGTGATGCAGATTCTCACCATCAACACGACAGCCCGCAATGCATGCATCGCCGGCAACTTGCCTACTGCTGACAGGCTGCTTACCCAAGCGATTGAAGCTGATAGAAACGACTATGACTCTTATGCGAATCGTTCGTTCGTCAAGGCAAGAAACTCAGACTGGGACCGTGCACTTGATGACGCACTCGAAGTGAGATGCATTGTTGCGATATCTTCAATACAGACCAACTTATATGGTGATACAGAGTATTAGCATTCAGCCATCCTTGATGGGCTGTATCTCCAAGGGTATCGCCCACTGTGGCAAACAACAGTTCCAAGACGCGATGAAAGTATTCGACCTCGCGTTCATGTACGTGAACGCAGACTTGAATAAAACTCGTCTTCTACTCTTAATCAAGGTACGTCAAATGTATTCTATGTGCCGACTACTCACACGACAACTGTCAGGCCATCGCCCTTTTCAATGCAAACCAACATGACGAGGCAATTCAGCGCGTCCAAGAACTAACTACCACTCGTCCCGATGCGAACTCTCTTGCATGTAGTATTGTGGGAGTGAGTGCTCCTGATGCAGTCAACTCCAGATTCATGCATCGAAACTGATTTTGCGAACTTCGCACTTTAGGCTTATCTACACGTTCAACTGGGAATGAATGCATTAGACGACGCACGTCACAATGAAGCAGCTGACCACTTCACCACTGCCGTTAACAGTATTACTTTCTCGTCCAAGTCTGCCATCTATTCTAGGTATGATATCTTCGTGGTGGTAGGTTGATTTCAATACAACCGTAAATCATTGTATCACGCCCCACTGCTTTTTCTAGCTATTCGGATGGGACCTCCGGTCCTTGTGGCGAACTGCACATCAAAATTGGTGCCATGCGTTGCTTCAGGCAGGTAGACTTCCAGAAGCCATCAAAGCATACCGATACATGATGGATAAGGCTGATGAGGCCACGAAGGCACGCTGCCTTGATTGGTCCGCTGGTAAGTCTCCATGATGTCCACCGAGTATAAGTCATAACCTCATTTTCACTTAGTTTTTAAGCAAGATTGCAGTGTGCTCTATGCTGCCGCTGGAGTGGCTGACCTCGCTGCGAGCGGCGATGCTGCCCTCGTTGCAGGCGATTACGACAGGGCTATCGAGCTCTACTCTGCAGCGATCGACCTCGATTTGGCAACTGGTACAATTTTTGCGAACCGTAGCAAGGCGAGGTCGGGAAAAATGCTATGGGACGATGCACTCCTTGACGCAGAGAAGGTGTGATGACAGCTACTGTTTCGTATTCAACGCTCATTTCGGTGATACACAGGTGATCGAACTCGACCCCTCATCTTACTTTGGATATCAGTTGAAGCATGCAGTACTTCATGGCGCACATCGTTATGACGAAGCCATCGAGGTATTCAAAATCATGTTCTCCAAGTTGGAAAATACTCCCGTCTCGCAAACACAAAGTACGCCCCAAATAACATATCCTTCACCATCGTTGACTCCTTGTCCAGACTTGCGCCAACAGTATCTTAGTCCATCGGAAGCAGAGCGTGCTATTGAAGATAGCATCAAGGTTCAGCTCGACAACGCCCCTCATCGTCTAATCAACACCTCCACTGGACGCTTGTGCAATCGTGAGGCGCAGATCGATGCCTTCAAAACGAGTACAGAATACAAGGAGCTTTTGTCATCAACACTGGTGCACGTAAAGCTCCCAATGAAGCGCATCCAGGAGGTGGTGGCGATGTACTTCCGTTATGTTATGCTATCGCATAGGTGGGAAGGGAAGGAACCATCGCTGCATGTCATCCAGGACAAGATAGTATATGACCTGGATCCAGTTGGCGGCATCGCGAAGTTGCAGTCATTCTGTAGAACTGCTCGTGATGAAGGCTATCGCTGGGCATGGATTGATACGTGTTGCATCGACCAGACTAACAACGTTGAGGTTCAAGAATCAGTCAATTCCATGTTTCTCTGGTATCGTCACTCAGCACTCACCATCATCTACCTTTCGGATGTTCCGCCTTCGTCGCAGCCTGGCGCACTCGCAAGTAGCGCTTGGAACACTCGAGGATGGACAGTTCAAGAATTTCTGGCCCCGACATTTGTACTCTTTTATCAGAGGGATTGGTCCCTGTATCTTAACGATCGCTCTCCCAACCACAAGCATTCCAGTGCAATCATGCAGGAGATGGGAAATGCGACAGGCATAGATGCACAGGCCCTCGTCGCATTCTGTCCGGGGATGAGAGATGCCCGGGAGAAACTTCAATGGGTGTCGGCACGTGTCACTACATGGCAGGAAGATATCGCATATTCATTGTTTGGTATCTTCAGCGTCAACCTGCCTGTCATTTATGGGGAGAAGAAGCAAAACGCACTGGGGAGGCTCTTGCAGGAGATCGTAGCTCGGTCAGGTGACATCACCGCCTTGAACTGGGTGGGGCAATCATCCGAATTCAATAGCTGTCTGCCGGCCGATATTTCCTCATACAAAGCTCCACCATATACCCCTTCATCTCTGTCTGAAGATGATATTCAGACATCAATCTCCTCGCTCCGACATACCATGTCTGTGGAACTGGCATTGAAAATCTATGCCCTGCTTGACGAACTGAACGCGCCTCGTTTCGCTAACTGCAGACTGCATCTGCCTTGCATCGCATTTCATGTCACAGCAGTTAAACGAACTCGTGCTGAAGACCAAAACATATATGAAGTCAAGGCCGACGGGCTTCATGACCTGCTGATCGTCACGAAGGACAAGTTGAATCAGTTCTCATCTCCACGACCCACTATGCAGACATTCTTGCTTGTTCGTCCATGGAATCGTTATCTCCTTGAGCTTCCTGACCTCGCGGAACCGTCTGGCTCGGCAGAGCTGCTTGACGAATCTGATGACACAGAGAGCGAGAAAGATCAGTCTGCGCCCGGGCTTTCATCACAGAGTTCGCCTGATGGGTTCTCTGAAGCACAAGATTTGGTTGATTCGGAACTGAGCGATCGAGCCTTGCGGTTGATCGTTCACCTTAAACAGCCTTTTGGCGCGTTCTTGCTAGCGCACCAGCGTGGCGGAGAATACAAGAGAATCACGTCAGATCATGATATTATTGCTCAAGTCAAAGATCTTTCTTCTATCCCGGGCATGACCAAGACGCTAGAAATATTGTAGCAGCATGTATTTGTGGTGTTATTTATTGTATCAATTATAATTCAAGTGTGATACATGAGACGACGGCCTACTCGACAGTCATTCTTGCTCGTCCGTCCCTGGAATCGTCATCTCCTGGGCCTGCCTGACTTTGAAGACGACACGCAGTGCGAGGATGATTGGATCCTGTCCGGGTCTCCATCACAGGATTCACATGACGAACTTCCCCCTGAAGAACATGGTTCCGTTTACGACGTGATGGATGTCAGGACAATGTTGGAGATATTGTAGATATAGATATCCTGATACCTCATAATTTTCATAATTATTCTCGCGCTCTGGTGTGACAATCTGTATTGTTTAGCCTACGGCAAGAAGCTATCCATACCGTAAGTCATGCAGGGCCAGGCAAAGTTCACTGCCTTTGACTTGTTTCCGAGGGAGGAGGGACCAAAAACAAAGAAAGTAAAATCTTGGATCGACAGAATCCTGCTAGGAACTAGGATGATTAGATTCGAATAATCGATGAGCAACGACACTTCTGAGAAATACCTAGCGATAGCCTTGCACATAGTCTGTACGCCCGCCGTGGTGCCGCATCCTGAATAACGATGGATAAACTGATTTAGAAATTAGAATGAGTAAAGAATCAAGCGCATTTCACAAGTAGAAGAAAACTATGCAACAGGGCATGAGCTGGAATATCCGGCGATGCGAGCGCATGAAAGCATTTACCTGATCGCGTATAAAAGCCAACCTACGCAGCCCAGAAAACACTATGAACTATGAAATTCACTTCACTCACCAATATTGTCATATCTGCCGCAGCGATGGCTGGCGTAGCTATCGCGTCTAATTCAGATAAAACTCCCTTAGGCATGACCTGCAAGGGGACCGAGGGTAGGCACTTTTGCAGCTTACTACGTGCAGGCTGCGTACTTAGTACGGTTATCCACAGGTATATATATGTGTGGACATATCCCAGGAATTAACGACGGGTTGGATTGCGCGGTTTACTGCGGATTCAGTGGGACAATTGAAAGATACGTCCCGTGTGGTTGCATTGGTTGCTGTGAGAAGTCCGCAACGACTGGGATCACTAGGTGTACAAAGTAAGCATATCTTTCCCTACCGCCATTCGAGCCCGAGTATTAATGTTTATGAAGACCTAGACAATATCAGTCTCTACATCAGGAAAACCCTCCCAAGGCAAATTAGGGAGAATTCACAAAAATTCGTAACATTAGCACAATCACAGCTGTTTATGAAGAAAGTAGCTAAAGATGATAATGTTAGACGAGTTTTTTTCTAACATAGTAAGAGTTATTGAGCATTATCTGAACATTGAAAAAGTATATCTATCCATGTACGAGTTCAACCAGAAGGTGTCACAGTTAGTGCTGCCGCAGTTCGGTTCTGAACTTCGGTTCGGACCTGAACGCTTCCGGACCGGACCGTGGGTTCGGTCCTAGGTTCGACATAATATAAGGACCGAACCGATTATTAGGTTCGGCGTTCGGCTGCTGCCTGAATACTGTGAACCCGTTCGAACCCATCCGAACATGTTCTCAGATTCTTTGCATGATCCACCAGTATCTGCTCTGATCTTCTGGCAACGGGCATGTCAATCGATCTCGGGACAATCAACAGCGGGTCTGACTTCACAGCCAAAACACCCAACACATTTCCATTGGTGACATCTGACTTCCTTGGTAATCCACTCAATGTTCTGGTAAGCCCAATGTTAATCAAATGTTAATCTTTATTCAGACTATAATGTCTTTTATGTTCAGAACATATCCTCCGGCTTCTCGTTCCGGTACCTCAAGCTTCAACATCAAGTAATTGCATGGCAACAGTATGTTCAAGGTGCGTCTTTTTTTTTGATCTCTTATCACAAGTTTTAGTATAAACAAGCTGCTAACTACAGGTTCAATCCCCACCCTCCTTGCTGCACAAATGTTGTGTGCACTTGGATCCGATGGCCAACTCAAAGATGCTAGTGCCATCAATTGGTACAATGATCCCGACAACGACACCCCCATGCTTCCTCCACCTCCGCCTCCCGCATCCAATGGCAAGCTAACTACCTTCGTGTCTCGTTGCTCAGGCCGAGCCATCAAACCGACAGAAAAAATCCGCGATGCTGCAAATGCAGCTCCAGCCAAACGAGTGGCTCCAGCACCTCCCCAAGGACAGCCTGCACCCAAGTGCGTGGTCCGTTGCCGTGATGACGACGAACCCCCTGCACTAGAGGATTGTTCAGATGATGAAGAAGAGGCCGAGGACAACAACAAAGAGGAAGCTTACGAAAGGACCAAGGCATTTGGAGACAAGGATCGTGAGGATCGCAAGCATAAGGGCAAAGAGGAGCGCAGTAGGGATTTAAAGGTGGTATTCACTCAGGAGAAGGGACACATCAATCTGCACACCCAAGAGCGTGAAGACGGCTGGTGGTGTGAGATATGCAGGTACATTTTGACTTTAAACATCAAGCGGATTACTCATGTCAATTCTAGAGCTAATAATGTACCGGCCAATCAATCCTTTTTCAAAGGCAGCGTTTCGACTCGGCGCACACATATTGCTTGCAACGCGAAGTTCCACTTCCAAATCTATCGAGACCGCTGCAATGAGCGAGGCATCAAGATGCACGATCGTGCAATACCACCTACCTGTAAAGCATCTGACGAAGGAGCCCAGCAAACATTAGATGGCTCCCTTGCAACTAAGATTCCCGAATTTACGAAGTCTGGGCTGATGGATTATATTGTCAAGTTAATCGTCTCTGAGGATGAGGTGCGTGATTGTGTTTTTTGATTGATAATGGTGACTTAAGACTTAAGATTACACAGGCATTCCAACTCGTTGATAAGGTCAGAACAGACCGCCCTGTACCAGCACATGCCTGATGCAAAACGAGAACATCGGCACGACCACATTCAAGTCTCCAAACCGAATGGAGAAAATCAGCCAGACCAGGGAAGGATGCCATTTAGATTAGGAAGCGATGATTGGATACAGCACGAGAAGGGGCTGATGTGGAAAGCTTGTTCATACCAAATTACATTCAGAACACAACATCTTGTACTGAGACCTCTTGGAGCTGCCATCAGACGTCTGATTCAAAACTGGATAACCTATAGAGTAATATACAATCACAAGGTGAACATTTTGAGTGTGATGCTACGTCAGGACGCATACATATAACTGTGCGCTGTCAGTGAGCAATATTCGAGCGAGGTAGAATTCAATATTGTACCTCTTCAGTAAGAATGTGACGAGCCTGACATTGTCCTCTGCAATGTTCACCAGGATGCCATCGTGTTCTTTCATGACCAGGAGATTCCCATCAAATCGTGCCTGCATGGCAGCACTGTGGTGCAATGTTGTTGATGAGCGAGTTGGGTGGTGGTTTGATAGTCTCATCCTCGAAGAAGAAGGTGTAAACGTCATCCAGCGGTACCACAAAGTTCAGGAGAGTACTGTACTGCCTGTCGCAAGGCACCACATGATGCAGTTGTGGCACTGAACCCCCACTGATGGACCGAATAATTGACTTCAAGGTCTTTCAGCATGCGTGAGGCCGTCACACCATCTTGCACAGGCACAGAAACTATATAAGGCCGTGTACAAGCCATGGTGTAGGGCAACCCTTTAAAAATCTGACAGTAGGGCTGTGGACCCCAGATTCATGAGATCAGAAGGTGAAGAGGACAGGCAGACTCACAGGATAGTGTTCCATGATGGCATGTTCCAGATAATCAATATCTTCCCAATCTTTGGGCATGATGAGAGGTGGTGGTACATCTTCATTGGCAAATGTGGCATGGACACGAAAATCACACTGATCGTTTACGCAATCCACGTCCAGCCTCCACTTGGTGTCATTATTAAGCAGGAATGATTTGAAGTCATAGCGAATATCCCACTCCACAGTCAGGCAGTCAGTGTCGTCCGCTGACTCTCCACCAAAGAGCAGGACAGGAGGAATTACAAGGTCTGTTAAGGAATGATGTGTGTCGTCGAATGTCCAACACTGTTTTGCCCACACAGCCCAATGATTGGCCATGAGCAATCTTTTGGCCATTCTGGCTCCTGACACCAATATGATCAAGGGTGAGCTCTGGATAGAAAGTGGTGAGATCTCCACATGACATGAATGTCATGTCTGCCGTGGTTGGTCCATTCAGTACAACTTTGACAATTTCAACCCCCACCCGTGGTTCAGAGACTGTGGTGATGTGCCCATTGGCACCATAGCGCCGAAAGTCATGCACATACACTGGTGAGAGTGGGGTGCAGAGTCGCTGGCATGGGCTGAAATGCCATAGTGTTTACGATGAAGTGTTCGATCAACATCAGACTACTGTGGGGCACAATAAGATTCAGGTCTCTGGGTCCCAAACCTGCCATCATGGTCTCACCATGCCCAAGGAGCATTTCTAGAGCACAGGAGCCCACAATGATAGCTCTCGTTCGATGCAATACTTGAAGAAACCGGGCCCGATGGATGCTGGTGAAGGGCTGGATGATGTTGTTGAATTGGTCATGGATTTTCTGAGTGATCTGGGGTCCCAGGGCGAGAAAGTCTCAGCCAACGTTTGAAGGTCAGACAAAGTCATGTGGTCCACTACCGGTCGACGTGGGTCCTCAACTGCCATCACTTGGATTTTTCAGTCAGGAAAAGTCTGGGGAATAGAGCCACCTACATCGCTGCTGGGACGAAGTTTGTGTCGTACTCTCCATGTGCCGCTTTCTACATGTCCCTTTCTCTGTTCGCAGGCTCTCAAACACCAATGCCCGGCCATTGCCGAAAAACATTCTGAAGCAACCGCCGATCACTGAAACCATGTATAGCCAAAACTGTGACACCAGGTCCAGTTGTTAGACACATAACCTTTTTGAAATCGCCAGCCCTCTCACCACGTGTGCAGATCCCAATAATCCACTCGCTCCTTCTCACTCTGTAACCAATGTTGACGTCAGCACAACATGTAAATTAGCAGATGAGCCATCCAATGCTCCAAGGTCTTCATCACTGTGTAGTCAAATGTGGGGCATATTGTTGGATGAGCAGATGCAGGAATGTTGAGAGAAGGGCTACCACCATTGACACGGCCATTGTAGTGCCACACCACTCCATCAGCATCTAACATGTGAGCTGCAAAATGAAATCCTCCTTTGTATATGATTCCACACAGTTGGTATTTAGCATGGCCTGATGCAGTTGGGAGAACCAAAGAGGGGGATGCCAGTAGCGATGGTGGTGACTCGAATACATCCTCAAATGAGATCAATGGAGGAGGATTGTCAAAGAATACGCGAGCTTCTGACGGTCCACCACATTGTTTGCATGGAGCCAAGCCGTGCACTTGGCCATGCAATATTTTCGTCGCATGGCCAAAAATATTGACCCATGCCTGGGTGGACACCTCGGAATCCATGAGGCCGCTCATCTGGGAGTCTCTAACCAGCCCACTCCATGCATCAGTCACAAATGGTGGGCAACACCTGGGTGACGGAGAGTACAGTTGGCGTGTCGGTTGTCGGGCATGAGGCAATGCAATGAATCTGCACATGGGGTTGGCAGCTGCTGGAACCCACCAGAAGGTCCAGTATGTGGGATGCCGAGGCTCCAATGCATCCCTGTATTGCAAAGTGAATGGGGCTAATGCATGCTAGACATTGGCGGAAACGATCACGCGCCTCATTGAACAATCTCAGTGAAGCGAGTCATTCAGTGGATGTACATAGACAATCGAAATCCAGGGCTAATCCTGCGTTGAGTGACCCACGAGAGATCCAATTCGTTATCCACTGCTCACCAGCTGAACGATAGATGTAGAACATTACCATGAAAACGGAATCGTAAGCACATGACCAATCCACTTCCGACCAGGTACAACCTGCTGTGGCTTGACTACAGAGCGCCTTTCATTCACGAACGGTGGGATTCGGAGGCAAAGGCAATGCTGCTGCCCCAGAAGGGTGTTCATCGTGAACCTTGTGCACTTTTGCAGGTTTACTCAGGCTTCCAACACTCTCAGAAGCCACAGGACAGCTTCCACTGTGATGATCCTTTTGGTGCGATAAACTTACCTTGCAGTTTCTTGGGAGGCAGCTCGCGCTCAGATTCAGGATCAATGACATTCACCAATGCACCTTCAGCAAAACCATGTCGAATGTAAGTGTTATGTTCCAACTGGTGCAGGCACTTCATTTCCTGCAATAAATCATAGGGAAGTGGCTTGTTCAACTGGTCGATAGTGACAGGAAGCATGATACACAGACCTTGTCTAGAACACGTGTGTGATGCAGCAACATAAGCACCAAATCCTCCTTCATGCAAGTCTACAATTACATTCGGTAGTGTCTTGCCTTGAGCTGAGTGTCCTGTGATGGCAAATGCTGGTTGGATGGGCAACTGATTTCAAATGACCCTCACCTTTGTTGACACATCAGTGGTACCTGCAGGCAAAGTTGTGAATGACCACAAAATCAGGGTGACAGGGAATATGCTGCCCAGCAGACCTGGGATAGAGACTTGACTGGAGGGAAATTCTACAAGTGCACAAGTGCAGTAAGTGAAACCAAACTCACAGATGTTAGTGTAGAGGCCCCGTACGATCCCCTGTGAGCCATTTGCCACTCCAAGATCTGTGCATAAATTTCTTGACCACAAAATGACAGGCATGCCAACATAAAGGGCAATGCAGCCAGGAAGTGAACCCAAAGATGTCCAAGCCGTGATGTCCAATTGGAGTAAATGCACCCGCAACTCTTGGGTCATGTGATTCGAAGTTTGGGTGAGCTTGTCATTTGCTGCACAGATGACTAGACGCTCAGGATGACTCTCATTGTTGGCACGTGCTTTCAGCAAGTTCAGTTGCTCTCGAATGGCATTTGTACTTACAATTGCTGCTGAAGCGAGATACAGTGGTGTGCTAAGGTCAATCCCCTGCGGTTCCTCTGTTGATTGAATGACACGTGAATTAAACAGATCAACATCCTGGTATGTACATTGCCAGACAGCAACCATTGCACCGCATTACCGAACTCTGGATCTGACTTCATATGCTGTTGTTCTGTGAGGGTTACGACAGTATCAATGGTCTTCCAAGCAAGCCGGCCAAGCCATTTGAGCATCTCCTGCTCTGTCTGAGGGGCATATGACGAGATGGGTGAGAACAGAGGTGTCCCTCCAACAGGTGGATATTGGTAGAAATCCCCAGAGCTAATGAATGCAGCACCTCCAAAATATTTGTCAGGCTTTTCTTTCGCGTATCTCAGTGCATGGTCTAAATCACAAATCAACTGCAAGCTCAGCATAGATGATTCGTCGACAAATACCATTTCAACGTGTTTCCACTCATTTTGCAAGTGAGTCCTGTCACGCACGCTGACAAGTACTGTATAATCCTCTGAACTGTCACCAACCTCTTTCTTTTTTTTTTTTTTAATCCAATTTATGTCCATGTGGGGTGTACTACCCTATGTAGGACATTTCTATCTAGGAATGGGGGACACCTGTGTCCCCCGCCGCGTCTCCGACCTCGCAAATGCCCTAGTGGGGGCCTGACCCCTGCTAGTCCGCCATTCGCACCGGCCGTTTTAGATGCGCAGGTCTTCCAATCTGCGGGACCATTTCTGTATGGTTCGTTGTGATGTGGTCCCTGTCGATGTATGTGGATGAGGCATGTGCTCGGGTGTAACACCGGGTACAAGGGGAATAGTGGAGCATGGAATTTGAAAATTGGAGGGGTTGTCATCCCTCCATAACCTTTCTTTGAAAACCTGGCCTTTCGCCTTTCTACTTCTTACATCATGCAACCAAATAAAACTCCAATGAAACCACCGAAATGGTTTCGTATCCCTTCGTCGTCGAGCATTGATTTGGAGGAGAGTGACCCGGGCGCTTGCTTTGGGATTCAATAGCAGGTAAGATATGGATGATGCATTGCGACGGAGGGTGGTGGTAAGGATGTGGCGTGCTCATGCATAGTAAGGACATATAAGAAGGAAGTGTATCACTGTTTCCAGCACGTTCTCGCAGTGAGGGCAGTTGGGTGTGGGGTTTTTGCTTATGTGAAATAGGTGGTGATTGAGGGATATATGTCTAGTACGAAGCCAGATGAGCATACTGATATGGTGTTTCGGGAGGTGTTGGGCTAGGGATATGAAGGAGCCATTTAGTATGTTGGGGTCGATGCTAACAGTTCGGTCATGACGAGGCGATCCTTGCCATAATCTCTTCCAACGGTCGGAGGATTCCTTCTTCTGCGCTTGCTTTAGTGCCGAAATACTGCAGGGGAGGACTCCTTTATGGAGGTATGGGGGCAAGGTGTCTGTGGGACTGGATTCTGTGTTTGAAACTGCCGCTCTCTTAGCTTCTTCGTCTGCTAGTTCATTTCCCTCTACCCCGTCGTGCCCCGAGATCCACCTAACTGTAACTTTAAAATGACGATTGTGGCTGTCCTTCTTCAGTTCTGTTATTGAGCTACGAAAATGGTCTATCAAATAGTGACCTGGCTTAGTGGAAAAGACATCACTGGATTTGATTGTTGCTTGATTATCGACAAATATAGATGCTGGGTAGGTGATATCCTCCTCCGATTTCAGCAAGTGAGCAGCTAATGTGAGACCAACGGCTTCCGCTTCATACACCGTGTGCTCGTCAGTTGTGCCTAAATGAAATCGCAAAACTTTCGGCTGAGGCTGGCCGGCACGAACAAGCACTGCCACTGCTCCTATCTTACCGTTAATGCCTGACCCGTCGCAGTACACCTTGATCTCATCTGAGTTGTTGTCATGGTCTTGGATGGCGCATTCCCTGGAGTTGGCTATTGCTATACAGTATGGGGTGGAGGAGTTTGGAGGGTGTCTGCTGTGTGTGTTGGTTTCGATGGATCCAACATTGAGTTTGGTGGTGTAGTATAGGTGGTGCAGGGATGAGCGATGACGCTGGATGTATCTCTTTGCCACTTTGCGCACAGGAGTAAATAGAGGGTGAGATGGGGGGTGCGCTGCTAAGTGTATAGCAGCTTGGTAGCATAGATTTTGCAGGCGGTGCACGATGGGAAGGAGCTTTGCGTGTGCCTCCAAGGTGTCTGTCACTGTGGTGCGCATGGCTCCGGTGATGCTCAGAGCTGCAATACGCTGAACCCTTTCCAAGTGTTTAGCCATGCCTATTGATCCCCGTTGAGGAGTGTCGCCCGCGCCTGACAAAGAGAGGGCGGAACCAAACATCCATGGCATAGAGCATTTTTGGGAGAGCAACTGCAAGGTAAAGTTGACGCATTAGTGATAGTGGGAGTCCTATAGAGGTAGAAGAGAGGCGACGTAGTTGGAACACATAGGCAGTACCCTTCGCCAAAGCGTACGTGACGTGCTCATTCCATCGAAGTGCCTGATCCAATATGACTCCTAGAAATCGGTGTGTAGCTGACGGGGTGATGGTGGTGCCTCTGGTGATGAGTGGGGGGTGTTCCTTGGCTGCATTCATCAAGAAATATATTAGGGCAAATTTTGACGTCTCAAACTTGGAGTTGTGAGCATTGGCCCAGTCGTAGCCACCTCCTGTTCATTCTAGCATGCTCTTCAGCGTTGCATGTGTTTTGTGGAAGGATTTCCCGATAGCTATGAATGCTGTATCATCGACAAATGCGAGCGTTCTCTCCTTCTTATTGCGCCTGTCCGCTACTTCGACCAAATCAGAGTCATAAATTATATATAAAATCATCGAAAGAGGGTCGCCTTGACCTATACCATTCCTTATTGGAATCCAGTCCAATAAGTGTCCGTCAAACTTGAGTTGGGTGCGGCGATCTGTTAGTAAGCGCTCAGTGAAACCTACCAACGACTCTGGGAGTCACCTTTTCCTCATATTATACAATAGGTGGTCTGTGACTGCATTTGGGAAGGCACCCTCGATGTCCAGGAACAATGCTGATACTGCCTTACCCTGACGCCAAGCGTCCTTGACAGTTGCTTCGAGTAGGTGTAATGAGTCTGTCGTGGATCGGCCTGGTCGGCCCCCAAAGTGAGTGTCAGGCAGTAGGTTATGGTGCTTCAAGAGGTAGGTCATTTGATCTGCAACTACAGCTGTGAGGAGTTTGCATGTTGTATTGAGGAGAGCGATCGGACGGTATGCCTTTGTGACTGTGTAGTCAGATTTGCCCGGTTTACGCAGAACAACGGTGGTGAAGTCCCGCCAGGGGGGGTAATAGGTTCGGAGGGTGAATACTGCTCTGAACAGGTGGAGCAGGTAGGGTTGGAGGAGGTCAGCGCATCAAATAAATACTATGTTACATATGCCGTCGGGACCAGGGGCTTTGTATGGACTTAGCTTCGCAATGCTACATGACAGTTGAGACTTAGTAATAGGCGCTGGGGATGGGACAGGATTAGGGTATGTTGCATTTGCCGGTACCGTCGAAACCTCTGGTGGGGGAGGGAAGAACGTGTGAGCTAAAGCTGCGCTTTTTTCCTCGTTGGTGTCAGCGACCAAACCATCAGGACGACATAACATTGGGATGCGTGATAAACTGCCATCGCCCGCTGCTGCTGTAAGGTAGTTGTTAGCTATCCAAATGTCGTTACCTTCTATCTCTTCGAGCCAATTGATCCAGTGTTCCTTCTTGGTTTGCTTGATGAGTTCTGAGTATTGATTGCGCTTTAGACGGTGTTCCTCATGACATGGGTGATCAGAGTCGTCCTGTAGTTTGAATGAAAGATGACTTAATTTCGCGACCTCACATCTCATGATCGTCAAGTCCTTGGTCCACCAACGTTTGGAATGGGGGTTGGGTTTGGATTTTGGCACTGTTTGTTCGACTGTGCTTTGGATTGCGCTAGTGAGGGTGCATGCTGCAATCATGAATTCGTCAGTGGTGGCGAGGGGCTGAGCAGGTGGGAGTTTAGCTAGCTCTAGGGTTAGCTGTTTGTTGAAGGACTCCCAGTCGGTCTCTCGGAAGTTGTGCTTTTCTTCCACTGTAGCTCTGGGGACGTCTAGATCGAGAATGCTAAGGATGGGGAGATGGTCAGTAGCTGGGCCTTGTAGGGCTGGATTAGCATAGCAACTAATAAAGGAATCGCTCGTGTGGTCGGTATAAAATATATTGTCTTGATGTGTCCAGTTCTTGGAGCTTGAAGATTGAAGGGTGGGTATACCTTTTGGCAGGGCTAAGACCATGCTGTAGTCTGCAAGTAAATCTAAGAGAGGCTGGGCTGCGTTAAGGTAATGGTTAGTAAAGAGCTGAGTGTTGCGGTCCTTGTCCCATAAGGGGTGATGCCTGTTAAAGTCCCCTAACCAGATCATATGGTCATCTGCAGACGGTCATATTCTGGCTATCTCTCGTTCCAGGAACGAGACGAGAGCATCCTGTGTGTGCGTTAAGTAGCAGTCGTTATAGATATTAAATATTGTGCAGCATCCAAATGGGCCTCAGAATTGGATCACTACGATGTCCGGTGAGGGGAAAGCTAGCTGTTGCCAAGAGTTAGTATTAAGTGACTTCAAAATGAGAGTGATTGCATGAGATGTAAGGTAGGGTGCAGAGAACCTGGTGGTGGGATATACAGCGTGAAAGTACGGCGACGAAATAGAGTTCTTCATGGTGTTGATGTGTGGTTCTTGAAGAGCGATGATATCCCAATCCCTAGCAATGGGGCCATTAAGGAGTGAGCGTTGTGCCACTAATGAAGTGTTAAGGTTTTGCTGCCATACACGTATTCTGGTCATTGTTTCAGGGTGATGTTTAGACATTAGTAGGGGTGAGGGGCCGTGGAGTCGCGTAAATTGAAGGAGATGATGTGAGTGGGGATCCGGGGGTGGAGGGGCTGTGTCACAACCCAAACAACGAATTAACGCTTGGGCAGAGACTAGGACTCGACTAAGGTTATCGGACAATAGAAAGAAGAGCAAGTATGTCTTGGATTGCTACGGTGTAGATACAAGAGGTTTGAACTAAAGAACTATCGACCAAGACATGCTACCTATATACAACTATTGAAACGGAGATTGAAACTGAGTTGTAACTACTAGCCAATCATAAAATAGGAAAGGGAATCGTACCATAGAACATCGTAGAATATTAAAGAAGCATCACGTGACCATATCTTATCTTATCTAATCTATTCACAATCAAAGAACTCGTCTTCTTCATCAATCATATTGAAGACACATGTCGTGGGCGCTAAAGGTATTTCAGGAATGATAGACGCTTTCAAGGTAGGGTTAGGGTTTGACTTAGGCGCTGTGTATTGACATTTAGGAAGATTCAAGAAAGAATAATGGTTTGTTAAAGGTACTCGTGACAGGCTGGGAGTGCGTTGAATGGTTGGTAAACTTGAGTTGAAGTCCCAGGACCCTGCATTGGCCACGAGCGGAATTGAGTTCGGCCCTGTAGGAGTGTCTGCTCTGAAGCCTCCTCGACCAAAGTGTCGTGGGGCACCCCTTGGTTGATGGTATCTAACAGGTCGTCTCAGCTCGAAAGGCAGATTCGATTGGCGCAAGACAGGGTGTGCCGTGGCCGGAGGTGATAGTGGGATTGAGGATGTCATCTTTCTGGTTGGAACTGGCTGTGGTGGTAACAGTACTTGTGTCCAGGATTCATCTGTGGGGAAGTATGGCATTGAGTTCTCCGGGTGCTTGGCATCTATACCTGCACAGCGAGATTCGAATTCAGGGCAATTTCGGTTCCAGCTAGCATGGTCGTTAGTATTACAGCTAACACAGTAGAAAGTGCGGTAAGCGTTGCAATCGTTAGTGCGGTGGTTCTTACCGCAGGTACCACAAATGTCGTGTGGCGCCTGACAGTCCTTTGCAATGTGGCCCTACACTTGACATCGGACGCATCTTACAGGTTCCTTTTTATCCTTACAAGGGTGCAGTTTCTCCTGACCGACATAGATGCCGTCGCGAAGAATTTTGTTGGCCATGTTAGGTTGTGTAAAGTGAAAGATGGTGTGGGCTACCCGCTGGTTTACAGCCCTGCGTTGGAGTGGCTTGATCCAGTTGACCGATTCAATGACTCCTGGTGTCAACCCATTTTCCTCCTCCACGGTACGTAGCCATGCTGAATCCTCCACCCTGGATGTAACAGATAAGAAAGGTACAATAATGGAGAAACACCTATCTTTAATGGTTACTGCGTTATTGAGGGCGTTTGCGATGTTGAGTCGATTTTCGGGGTGTTGGACCCAAGTGGCAGCTTCAGCAGTAGTGAACTCAATTACGAAGCCCCCGTTTCGAAGGCGAGTGGTAGCTTTAACGTGTAGTTCGGGTCTGTCGTTGGACTGGGTTGTCGTAAGTGCCTGTTTGATTTTATTCGCTATGTCGGCCGACGTCGCTTCGGGTGCGAGGAGAGACTGCCCCGGTGTAGGGTCGAAGAGAACCTGATGGTCTCTCGTGACTGCTCGTACTAATGCTGCTGATACGGGGGTTGGAGTTTGCGGGTTTTGCTGAACTATAGTGCTGTAAAGTTTCGGGGTTGTCTGGAGCGCGGTTTTGAGGGGAGAAGTTAGGCCTTCCATAACAGTTTTGACTTCCATTATGCTGTTGAGGACAGCCTCCGCTGCCTGTTCTGCCCTTGATGCAGCTTCGCTTCCGAGACCAGGGCCGATTGTAGTGTTCTCTGCTAAAGTGGTTTTCAGTTTAGCTATCTCCTTGACGTTCGCTTTGAGGGTCTCCGAGGTGGTGAGAATGGAAGCCACCTGTGGGGAGATAGCTGCGACCACATGGGTGGAGAGTGCAGATGAAAGGGTGGATACGACATGGTTGGATAGCGAGGCCGAGAGAGAGTCCGTGATTTGCTGAATATCGACTTCTGCAATGGTAGATTTGCGGGTTGAGCTGTCTTCTAGGTGCAATGCCACTGCTCGAAGGCCCTTGATAACTACGCGTGGGATTCCTGTGTGCTGGGTGATATGAAGGATCGTGAATATTAAACTATCAAGGGAGAACAGAATGCCTGATTGGCGAAAAGGGGACTTCTCTAGGAAGTTTATGCTGCTCTCTATGTCCTTTACTTCGTATTCTTGGAGCAATATTTCATCCCTTGATAACAACAATGAGACCGTGTTGCGATGGGACGTTCTGGTTCTATTTGTGGGAGTGGGGGCACGGATGTTTGAATTGCCAGGCCCTATAGACGTTGAACATGTCTTCCCAGTTGCCATTATTGCCAGATTCGGTTGCTTGTCGCCGAGTCTGGTTTGGCTGATTCAGGTGGGGAACTGTTGGGGTTTTTAGGCGTCAGAGACGTCTGGAGCGCTGGTGGGCGCAGTGCTAGGTGCCGGTTTTTTGGGGTCCTAGTCAGGGTGCCACTTGGTAAGGGTCCAAGAAGCTTTTCACCTCTTTCGTTGTTTTGCCGTGACGCGCAGTCTTGATCTTGATTCCTGATCCTTGATGAATAGTCATACCGTCAATCAAAGACGCTGCAGATCCTGTAGGGGCCAAAAATCGAATCAAGTGAGCACAACCGTAATGTGCCATGAAAGCCTTGATGGCATTTACTACATATGTTTTGCCTGTGCCTCCAGGTCCGGTCATGATCATGGACAACAGGGGTGTGTCCAATTTCAAGACATGTTTGTTGATGAACCACTTACAAATCAATCGGAAGCATATGATCTGTTTCTCATTCAGTGCAAACTGTTGTTCCAGATGAGTCATCAACTTCTCTGGCTCGTCTGACCTTGTGTATCTCATAGTGCCCTGAACATTGGACTGCACAGGCACACAAGGCCTTGGACAGGTGGTGAGACCAGATACTTGATGTAGCTGGTGAGTGGGCACATCCGCATGATCTGTTAAAGACCCGAAACTTTGCTCTTCTGGGTTCAGCATATTCTGGCGAGTTTGTGCGACCATCCTGGCCTGATTCAGGATCGCCTTTTGCCATACTTTCAATATGACATCATCGACCTCATGAGGTATGGTATTCCATGTGGAATTTGCCAAGACAGGCTCCGTGATGGCATCACACGAGTTCAGGTGACGTACAGTGTTAGTTTCCATCCAGCCTGCCACGCGGAGTAAAGCGATTGAGCGCTCCAAACGGAGTTCGCGCTGTGGACGTTTCTGAGGCGACACGACTTTGACAGTGTCAGATTCGTCACCACCATCAAGGTTATTCCTGCTATCCTTCATCAACGATGAGGTGATACTCCTGCTATTGGCAGCCACTGCTGCATGTTTCCATAGCTGATCAGTATCGTGTTCGTCCTCGCACTCATGCACTGCTTCCCAATTATTCATTACATGCATGGCAAAGGGGTCAAACTGTATTCTTCATAAACCTGGAGCAACATCTATCCTGGTGGGATCAATGGGCGAGAGACGCTAAATGCTTTAAAATGTGTCAGTGTGAAGAGGGCCCATTCAAGCTCAGACTTCTTCCGCAGGACATTCATCCCTACTACACGAGGCACCAGCGATCGGACACCCTCGCCTCGCTCACTATTTGTGTGTTCCAGCAGCAAGTGGGTGAGATATAAATCATGGCCTGACTTGAGTGGATGTCTCTGAAGGATGCCTAGGCATGTGTCTGCTGTATTCTTCAATTTCTCGCTCTTACTTTTTGATTCCAGGTGGACAAAGCAGCAGAAGTCATAAAAGCACATGCCTTGGAGTGAATCGGCTCTGTACCAGTAATGGTGTATCTGATTCATGGCAATGAGTTGGCCGGCTTGGTTAGTCTGCACGTGCAAGCACAGTTGCTCTGTATCCTCTTGATTGTCCGTGACGCCCAATTTCAACACGAATTCCTCCTTCACAAAGGAAACCATCAGGCCAGAAAGCATCGGTATTGTCTCGTGCGACAGAATATCATCTCCAAGCCCATGAATGTACCGTGTGGCTTGTTGAGCGTGAATTTGCTGCTGTCGCACAAACTGGGATAGACACTTGTGGAGCAGTTTTTTGGCACAGGCAAGGTCTGATTCACCTGGAATGGTGGACACTTGTGAGACTGCTCTGGACATCAAGGACAGCAATTTGTGAGTCTTCAAATCCATTTTGGTGATGTAGTCCGTGATGTCAAACATAGCAGCCTTCGCGGCTTTGCCAGACAATATCGACTTAAGATCATGATTATGCCTACAAAAAATGAGAATGTATGGGTTAAAGTAGTTGACCATGCTGTCTCTGCACATGAGTACCACAGAATTGCTCTCTGCATCAAAATACGATGCCTCAACAACTTCATGAGGGAAGAGAAATCGACACTGATCTTCATTTCCGTACTTGTGACACACCCGACGGCAAGAATGACGTTGTAGGACCTCACCACAGAACTTGATCTCGGTCGCCATGACAGACTCCCATTTGGCGAGAATGGACTGGGGTGTCTCGCTGTCCACTGATAGCTCTAAAGGTGGAGGTGGTCTTTGAGTTCGAGGTTCGAATGCAGGATCCACATCCATCTCTATGTCTGGTAAATGGTGATGGATGATGTCCTCGAAATACGCGAAGAACTGGGCTTGATAACGGGGATCCTTCAGCCGTTTGTGTAGGTCTGCAGGGTTGAGACCACCTAACAACCAGATAACGAAATGTCCGTGCAAACTCCCTCGTTCTGTGAACTCACTGGTTCCATAGAAAGCTTCCAGATGACCCAGAATTCCGCCCTGAGGTGTGGAAATCGTGGTGTCATAGTCACATCCGAACAAATGCGCGAACAGAGCTTTCACACAAAATTGAAAGAAATCAGCTGCAGCAACTGGATCACGAGCGAGGCGGAGTGCACGCTCACGAGCTGAAACCAAGACAGGATAACATTGAGTGAGATCCACAGTCTCATCGCCATACATCACCTGAAAGGTTGGGCTGTGAGCAGCATTAGGATTACACATGAAGTATAACTGAGGGACCCCAAAATAACCAAAATAGCTCCGGATTTCGTTGTGAATGTGAATTTTGGCTGATTGTGATCCTGGTATCCGGGCAGCGATAGTGTTGACTTTGCTGAGGAGATTGAGTGCAGTACAGTCGGCGCTCGCCAGCGAGGAATATGATTTTTCTTTTTGGAGATGTTCAGCCACTCGACGGAGGGTACTTGGGGATATAGAGACAAGATTCTTGGCCAAGGTGTCAAAATGCGCACGACGGACAGTAAAATGAGTATGGAGGTGGGCCAAACGACGTTGCCATATGTTCAGCATGACAAACATATAGGTACGATGGTAACAAAAAGATTTATCAGCCAGATCCAGCATGTACTCGATTTGCCGGCGAAAACCCAGGGCTGTTGGACGACTTTCATCATCAAATCCTCCTACACCGAACGGAAACAAAGTGGGAAACATACCCGGCACGAGGTCTGGGTTGTGGTATTCGCACTGAGCCTCAGAACTCCTACGCAACACGAGAGTCGATTTGTCAGATGTAGTTGGCATCAGATTACACAATGCGGCCGCAGTGAATGCACGTCCAGATACCTTAGAGCTCTCAGGATCAGACACCCCCATGGATTCCAGTAAGACTTCAGGACTCTCGTTCACATTATCACTTAAACTGCTTTCTACAAATGCGTCTGCAGGATGTTCAGAGAAACCAGCGGTCTCTTCTGCGCAAACAGTACGGACATCAGATTCGTGATCATAAATCACACGAGCTGCAATGCCTGGCACGGCACCATCATCAGGGTAACATCTTGCTGAATTCGAGATTTGGTGGAGGGACCACTACAACTTTCTCGAAGAAAAAGGCTACAAGCTTCGTAGTCGCTACAATCCGGATTGGGTGCCGTCTTGAACGAATACCAACAAAATTGACATAAATTGCGAGGATGGAATTTCGTCACCAGTGGGTGCTTCGTTCTTAGCAGTATTGCTCGACTACCATAAATCTTTTAGCATTATCTTCTACTGGATGCACGGCGCATTCGAGACGGCGCTCGCGTATTACTTAAATGTATTGAAGTGTCGCGACATCCTCATGAGATAGAGATCGGTCGCTATTTTTGCAGCTCACCTCTCAGCGAAGATCCAGCCAACCATTGTGTACCAATTTACGACGTTCTGGAGGTCCCTGGTGCCGAACATCTTATGATCATGGTCATGCCGTTACTTCGAAATGCTACGGATCCCTATTTTGACACCGTTGGCGAAGTCATAGACTGCATCCACCAGCTTTTTGAAGTAAGGTCTTTATTCACTGACTTGCGCTTTTCATAACTATTTCTCTCTCACTTGAAGGGACTGCTCTTTATGCACAGGCACCACGTTGCTCACAGGTATGTATTCAAGCTGCTCGGATACCGTGTCTCATGACGTAAATAAAGGGACTGTATGCAACTGAATATACTGATGGACGGCAGCATGTTCATAGATGCGTGGCATCCAAGCGAGCAATACATGTCAGAAGACCTCAAACGCGCAGCCAGGCATCGTACGCGCACGCAGTCTCCGCCACGATATTACTACATAGACTTTGGTATTTCCCGCAAGTATGAGGCGTCTAACACCAACCCATTAGAAGTCCCTATCTTCGGTGGAGATAAAGACGTGCCCGAGTTCAAGGAAGACAATTTTAAGCCTCGAAATCCTTTTCCAACTGACGTTTGGTATCTTGGACATGCTATCCAAGAAACGTTTCTCGATGTAAAGTGGAATAATGACTTCTCATTTTTCACGTTCTGATTTGTGGAAAACAGCGCTACTCAGGTGTGGAGTTCCTTAGCGGTCTGGTATCGGACATGATGCACACCGATCCAGCACAACGTCCGAATATGGACGAGGTTTTTTCTCGATTCCAGGTCCTACGCCAGGGCTTCAGCCAATGGAAATTGCGTTACCGGGTGGCTCATGAGGATGATAACTCTCTTTTCGATTTCCTAGTCCACTGGGCACGTCGCATTCAGTACATTGTACGCAGGATCCCCCCAACGCATACTTCACTGTCATAGGGTGGACTTATCTGTAACCAGTCTCCTACGATGCACGAGTTTCCTGCCTTTAAGTCATCACACCAATAGAGTAGGGTGTCGCACCGACTTCGCACCGCATGCTTGACTATGCAGCGTCCCTTACCAACGTTATCTGGAACTCTAGGGTCAGAGTCATCTTGCATCGACGACGTCAGGTGACTCGCATAAGTCAGGAAAGCCACATAATCTCAACGGCGCCATGAAGAAAAGTTCTCATAATTAGTGCATATACCGTCGCTGATACTGAAAGCTAAGTGTTCAGTATTCCACCTTTTGGTGTGACGGTTATTCGCGGGTGGTCTGACCAAGTTACATCAAGCTCACATATGTATCTCTACTTCATACTGCGGAGCATTCCATTGACTCTGATGACCGTCGTCGTCCCCTTGGGATGGTATCTCAGATATGATCAGTGTATATGTAGGTAGGACCGCAAAACACAAGAATATTCTTTTTCATTGTCCAGATAGTCAGAACCTTCAAGTTTAGAGGGGAAGTTTTATATTTACCAAGTTATCATCTTGGTTTATATTCATGGGGATATTTCCTCGGTACAGCTATGGGATGTACGCATCAGTGAATTCAAAAGTTCTCGATAACAGATCGCAGCGGTCTGAGTGCCCCGTGTCCTTGGCATCTAAGGTTGAGGCTGTGAAGAAGCACAAAAAGGCCCGGTACAGGCACGTCTTAGATCGAGACTCTCACAAGCTCGCCAACAAGTCGCGCTCACCATACCATCCACCTCGAGAATGACAGAAGCAGAACATCCTGCCATCCGGATCACCATGGCTAGTCGGATATTTGAAGGTCATAGGCATAGTATCTTTGCAGTTGTAGTATTCCCCGATAGACGCCGTATGGTGACGGCCTCATACGACAAGACCCTTCGTCTATGGGATATAGAAGACGGTGTCGTATTGAAGGTAATGCAGGGGCATCGCTTCGGCATATGAGTAGCTGCAGTATCAAGAGACGGGCAATTCATAGCGAGCGGTGATTTTGGCGGAGAGCTCATCGCGGCCTGGAACAAAGATGGCGAATCCCTCACCCAACCCATCAGAGTCCACTTCAACAAGGTTTTCTCGCTCGACTTTTCCCCAGACAGCTCATTTCTGGCGAGTGGTTCATTGGATACCACCGTGGAGCTCTGGAACACAAAAACATGGCAGGTTCAAGGAAATCCAATCAATTGTGAGACTGAAATCCGCAGTGTTCGGTATTCGCCGTCCGGTGAATATCTTGAGGATTTACATGACGAACTTCCCCCTGAAGAACATGGTTCCATTTACGACGTGATGGATGTTAGGACAATGTTGGAGATATTGTAGATATGGATATCCTGATACCTCATAATTTTCATAATTATTCTCGTGCTTTGGTGTGTGACAATCTGTATTGTTTAGCCTACGGCAAGAAGCTATCCATACTAGTAAGTCACGCAGGGCCAGGCAAAGTTCACCACCTTTGACTTGTTTCTGAGGGAGGAGGGACCAAAAACAAAGAAAGTAAAATCTTAGATCGACAGAATCCTGCTAGGAACTAGGATGATTAGATTCGAATAATTGATGAGCAACGACACTTCTGAGAAATACCTAGCAATAGCCTTGCACATAGTCTGTACGCCCGCCGTGGTGCCGCATCCTGAACAACGATGGATAAACTGATTTAGAATGAGTAAAGAATCAAGCGCATTTCACAAGTAGAAGAAAACTATGCAACAGGGCATGAGCTGGAATATCCGGCGATGCGAGCGCATGAAAGCATTTACCTGATCGCGTATAAAAGCCAACCTACGCAGCCCAGAAAACACTATGAACTATGAAATTCACTTCACTCACCAATATTGTCATATCTGCCGCAGCGATGGCTGGCGTAGCTATCGCGTCTAATTCAGATAAAACTCCACCCTTGGGCTTCGGGTGCTCGCCCAAGGGTAGGCACTTTTGCAGCTTACTACGTGCAGGCTGCGTACTTAGTACGGTTATCCACAGGTATATATATGTGTGGATATGTCCCAGGATCTAACAACGGGTGGCCTTACGCGGGTTGGTGCGGATTCAGTGGGACAATTGAAGGATACGTCGCGTGTGGTTGCAGTGATTGCTGTGTAAAGAACAAAACGACTGGGATCACTAGGTGTACAAAGTAAGCATATCTTTCCCTACCGCCATTCAAGCCCGAGTATTAATGTTTGCTCAGGTAGTGTGTAACTGTATGTTGTGCATACTGGCAAGTGTTTCGATTACTCATTTACGTGGCAACATATGTTAGTAACTAGGGCTCAGGTATTTTGCCGCACCCTGCCGCAACTTGCCGCAGCATCAGGAAACTTGAATTTTCCCTGATTTAACCGACATACCTGTATGACCTGACTCATCAGCAAACTATTGATTTCGTCACAATTCCCACACGCTTGACAAATCCGCACAATTCCGTACAAGGATCACAGGTCCCACAGACATCACAAACAAATGACCATAAGTCTGCATCAGGAAATTCTCAGTTAAGCTGATTAAGGAGATCAAGGAATGTGAGAATTTCCTGATGTGCTTACAAGCTCACAGCGGCACAAGCAAGTACAAGCCCACAAGCTCACACACTGTACAAGCGGCACAAGCGACACAAACTGTAACACACTGTGGCACTTGTAGAAAACATAATTAACACTAGCGAGTTTGTATACATATGTGCAGCGAGAATTTTGCCTATTTACTATGCTACATGGTCTATAATAACATTTTTATTTTATTAATAACAGCGGTACTATGAAATAAAAACATACTTACTACTCAGTGTCACGCTCGAATAGTAAACATTGTGATACCACTTTTCCTCCGGCGCTCTGAGTGCATGTGTCCGACGTTGAGGTCAGCCAATAATAGATGCTGGTTTGGAGCTTCTGCCCGGCAGTGGGAGATATGGATAAGTATTTTATATTGTTCCAAAAGGCAGTCGGCCAAGTATTTTTGAGCTCGACACACTTTGCGTTTGGCCTGGGCAGCCTCGAGCGCAAGGTCAGAGTCTTCTTCTTCTGCTGGTTGATCAAACAAGCTGGACTCAGCTGAGTCTCGTTCCTGCAGGTAGTGGGATATGAGTAACAAAGCAACACATAAGCGGGTGCAACTCACAAAATGCATTGATATAGGTAAGTTCTCATCGTCATCATCTTCCTCCACCTTGACAGAATGCGATTGCGGATAATGTGTAGGGCATGGATGTCCTTTATCAGGCCAACTTGAAGGGGGTGATGAGGCTCGATGAGTTGATGGGGCTCGATGAGTTGATGAGGCTTGAGGAGTTGATGAAGCATCAGAGCCGCGAGAGTCAAAAGAAGGATTGTAGAAATGGTAAGATGGAGGATAATAGTCTTTAGAATGAGAGAACATATGGATGTACACACGCCTAGACTGAATGAAAGAAGTGTGGGAACTTCATGCGCACATCATCAATGCCAACACCTACCTGTCCAAAGTGCGGGAAAGTTTTCACCAAGGACTCCAGCGTCACTCACCATCTAAGTCAGCCTCGGACATCTTGGAATTCACGGATGTAGTTCCACTGCAGCGATCCCGCAATCTACCTCAGAATTTGGATGCTAGTGTTGGTATGGGTCAGGGATTTGGTGTTGGGGGTGACTCGCAATTCGATGCTCAAGCTGGGGATTCCATGGATACCAACTTAGACGGAGACCTTGCAGGAAACTCACCTCCACCTAATGAGGAATGGTATGAGGGTGCAGCCAAGTGCTATTCTCAGGATGGCGTCACATTTCTGGATCTTTTTGATGCCGACGAGCATGCAGATTACAGGAAGGAGAACCTGTTTTATCCATTCACATCAAGGGAAGAGTGGGAGATCGCCGACTTCCTCCTGCGTTCTGCCCTTAGCATGGCAGCAATCAATAAGATTTTGCAGCTCTCTATGGTACATACCTTCCTTGTTTCTTTCACACTTCGATCATGACATTACCTCGCAGATAAAATGATTACAACTGTCGTTCAATAATGCCAAAGATTTGCTAAGTCGGGCTGAAATGCTGCCAAAGGGACCGAGCTGGAAATGCCAACTCATTCCCTCGCTTCATGGCACAAAGAGCCCAATCCGACTATTCTGGAGGGACCCAGTCGAGTGTTTAGAGAGTCTCTTCAGTAATCCCCTCTTCACAACCAACTTGACTTTATCCCTTATCATATTTACAAGACTGCAGCACAGCTCCTGCGTGTGTATTCGGAATGGTTGATGGGTGACGCTGCTTGGAGCATCCAGGTACGTGCTGTTGATGAACTGACGATGCGCACCATCTCACAAGACTGTAGGATCAACTGCCCCAAGGCGCAACAATCCTTGGCACCGTGCTTTTGTCTCACAAGACCAATGTCACAACAATGACAGGTGCCAGGGTTGCACACCCGCTTCTGCTAGGCCTTGCCAATATTTGCATGCGCACTCGTACAAAGCTCTCGTCCAAGGTGTTCATGCTCGCAGCTCTCCTCCCTATCCCGCAGTACTTACACCCCAATCAACGCATGCAGGGTATGCTCAAGGATTGTCTCATCCACAAATGTCTTTCAATTGTTTTGCAGCCCCTGATGAAAGCCGCCGAACTTGGAATCATGATGTCTGACCCAGTGGGAAACATCTGTCACTGTTTTACTCCCCTTGCTGCATCCATTGTTGATACTCCTGAAGCATGTATGCTCGCATGTGTGCGGGGTAAAACTTCTCCATTTACACTGGCATTGTATCTGCAGTTTGGGGACAACTTTCGTCACCCTGCACGTACACGTGCCATCACTCTCGAGCAGCTCGCCAGTGTCGATGTTGATCCCAACGATCTCAAAGCTTTTTTTGCTGCATGCGCAGAATTCTGGCTAAATAGTGTCTTCACACCTTTCTGGAAGAACTGGCGGTTCGGTGATCCTGCAATCTTCCTTACACCGGAAGCTCTGCATCACTGGCACAAGCAATTCTATGACCACAACGTGCAGTGGTGTCTTGTAGTTCTTGGAGCGGTGGAATTCGATTTCCAGATCTCAATATTGCAACCTGTCACAGGCTATCGCCATTTCTCCAATGACATCTCCAAACTGAAACAGGTCACGGGCAGAGTCCACCGCGATATACAGTGTTATATCGTTGGACTCATTGTTGGTGCAGCCCCTCATCGATTTGTGGTTGTAATTCGTGCTTTGATGGATGTCCGGTACTTAGCGCAGTCTCCCTCACCTGATGACAGCATACTGGAATCTATCGACAGATTGCTCGCAATATCTCATGATAACAAGGATGTCATTATGACCCTAGGCGCTCAGATGGGTATGAAGAGAGTCATCAAAAATTGGCACATACCCAAGCTGGAGCTCATGCAGAGCATTACCGCTAGCATGTCCCAAGTTGGTGCCCTCATCCAGTGGTCTGCGGATGCGACCGAACACGCACATGTCTCTGAAATCAAGGATCCAGCACGGCGCACGAACAACAACAATTACAATCCTCAAATTTGTTGTCACTTAGATCGAGCAGAGAAGCTGCATCATTTTGCAATTGCTACGACTCTTAAGAGCCTTCCCGCTGATCCCGATCTCGAAGAACTTCGTGAGCATGAAAATTCAATATTCCTGATCTGCAGTACACTCTCTCAGACTTCCTTCAACGCGATGCAAAGAACGGAGATGGAGTTTTTGGGGTGGGGGTCCCAAGAAGATCGCTGATCAACCATCCCTTGAATATGCCTTTTGAGCATGTTCAAATATGGCACACTGTTTGCTTGCAGCAAGTTTGTCTCCACGATCCCAGTGTTGTTTTACCTGCGCAAACCATGCATGCCTCTCCTGCACGTATTGGGTGGTCAAAAGGCCAAAAGGATGTTGCCATTCTCAATGTCGATAGCACATATGATTGGCCAAAGTCTGGGTTAAAGGGTGAGCTCTTTAGTACTCGTATACATTTTGATTAACCCTGACACCTTTCCCCTCTCTTGAAGGTCACGCCATCTGCGAATTGCAGCTTATCATGCGCCCAATATCTCGATGAGGCTCATGTGTCACATGGCGTGATCAATACCTTTGCTATGTGCGCAGATTGAAGATTGGTGCGGTTGATCCCGTCACCGAGATGCACATATTGACATGCGCAAAACATGCCAACGGTACTCTGGTGGGAGATGTAGTTCCTCTGATGCAACTTCGAGCATTCATCAACATTATCCCAAGACTGGGTACTGTAGTGGACTCTTGATTGACTAAGTCTACTTCCACACATTATCATTCCTCGTTCTATTTGAATAAGTACTTTGATAAGCAAATGTATGATACCCTGTACTCTGCATTGCAAGGATAGATACCAGCTGCTGGATCATTTTGTTTCTTAGTACACTACTATGACATGCTATTTCATCTACTCCATGTGGAAACTCTGGTCTGGGAAGTTCGATCGAAGATGCACCAAACTCAGGCTCAAGGCCCATGCCACTGTGTGGCAACTGTGCACTAGCCTGAGGGAGCGCTTGCTCAACAAACTTGCCAACCATTCAGATGGACAGGCGAATTGTCATTGTAGGGTACATTGGTCCGCAGTACTCATTCAATACTCCATAGTGCTGACTGGTCTTGACTCTGAATCCATTAGACGCCATGACATCTGACCTGCTCGCTCACCAAACTTCCCCAACTTCACTTGCGACTACTTCATTTGACCTTTATCTCTGTGGCCCTTCACTCAGTTCGATGGGTTGCCCGCCTGAGGGTGGTCGCATGAATGATCTCATCAAAGACCTCCTCAGATCAGAGCTGGAAGGCCATGTCATCTTTGAAAGCGACCTGAACATCAAACACAGTGCCAGCCTTTTCCACCACTTCATTCCCAAATCCTTGTTGAAGACTAAGCATATCGCAAAGATAAAATACTATGGCAAAAAGAACGGACCACCAGTATATTTCCAGGGTGCGTGGAACTTCAATCGAACAAAAAAGCCCAAAGCGAACAAAAATAACAGTGACTCCGGGTCAGACAACTTGGATGATCAATCTCGCACTAGCACAGAAGTCACTAACACCAATACTGAGGCCTTTGATTCTCAGGGTTCTGTGTTAATGTCTCAAGACACGGATGGCACCTGGAGCCGCGATGAATACAATGGGACCACAGAGCCAGGATCAAAGAGGGCACGTAAGCCTTCATCGACTGAGAAAGACTTACAGTACCTCTTCAATGCTGTTCAGTACGCCCTGCACCGTAAATTGAATATGAGGGCCAAACTTCCCTTCCAAATATCGAACATCAAATGATACTGGTCTGCAGAGTTTGCCAACTCACCAATACCAGACCCTTACAACACCCAAAAGCCTGATCTTGCTCTGTTTTACTACAAGAGTAAAGTTTTTGAGAAAACATGGACAGACATCCTGAGTTTTGTTGAGCATACATCCTCTGATTTTAGCGAGAGGCGTGACCTAGGAGTGTACTGGGGGTCCACCACCAAAGCATATCTCATCATGCGAGAACAGCTGTGGTGTCGCTTCATCCTCTCATTCTTTATCTCTGCCGAACAACTTTACGCCCATTTTTGCGACCGCTCAGGCCTCATTATAACTCTTCCAACTCCCATCCAATCGTCACCTGCCCATGTCGCTGATGCAATCGCTACTCTCTCATTAGCGGATCCGAGCCTCTTGGGTCTCAACCCCACAGTCCATATGTGCATCCCTTCTTGCAAGGGTAATCACATCAACCTAGCAGTGGGGGCAATTGGTTGGGTTACCAACAATGCTGGTAAAATATACTCAATTATGGCTGTTCTATGGAAGAGCCAGGGTCTATTTTGTCGTGGAACGGTATGTTACCGCGTTCGGGATCCTGTAGATGGGGAAGAATATGCATTGAAAGATTGTTGGGTGGCCAAGGCAAAGAGATACCACGAAGTAGACGTCCTTGAGAGGGTCAAGGGCATCCCTAATGTGGTCCAACTCGTAGACCATTGGGATGTCCTATTCAACGGAGAGCCTGACTGCACAGCCCGCATTTAGGATGGATATGGTATCCTGCCTGAGGACAGGCCAGACAAGAGATTCATCAATAGGTATCACCGGCACCTTCTCTTGACCCCCTGCAGAGATCCGTTATGGCACTTCAGCTCCAGAAAGGAACTGATTTGCGCCTTTCGCGATTTCGTGGTCAGTGAGTTCAGTTTCATGCATTGATTTGTTGTATCATTTAACATTTTACCTATAGCTCATGAAATGATGATCCAACAACGAGTTCTACATGGAGACCTTAGCCCAAACAATCTTATCATCCATGAAGGTGTTGGGTACTTCATCAATTTTGACCATGCGTCAATCATGAAGGAGGGTGAGACATTTACTATTTTGTTTGGTACCATAAGTTTGAACGTGGAGTTCGCGGTTCTCGTTATTGATTGTTGATCCCACTATTGCAGGGAACTGTGCCATATATTTCTATGCGCATTTTGAAAAAAAATGTCAAAGAATGCTGACATCCTCAAGAAGTCAAAGACGAGCATCAACACCAGCAGCATTGCTCAGCTGAAACTGGTTGAGCACAACCCCAGCGATGACCTTGAGTCACTGTTCTACATTTTCTTCGAATTCATCTTGAAGTATGGAGGTGCACATGGTGCAGTTGCTCCGACTTGGGATAAGGCAACTATGCCATGGGCGGAAGCTTACAGGAATTTGGGTGCTACAAGCGGTTTGCTTGCCACCTTTTTGGCAAAGAAGGGTGCCATGTCCGAGAGCGATATCCTGATAGACAGGGTATCAGACTACTTTTCAGAATTCAAGCCCATTATTGACGAATGGCGCACAAGAATTTATCATATGGAGTCCAATCTCGACGGGGCCATTGTTCACGATCACATCTTCCAAATGCTCGTCAAATTCATTATGAAACTTGACGATGAAAAACCCACTCCATTGCCCTCTCCAGTAGATCCCCCTGGTGCTCCCCCCAGTGCTCCCCCCAGTGCTCCCCCTAATGCTCCCCCTGGTGCTCCCCCTGGTGCCCCAAGTCATACCAGTGCTCCCCCCACAGCAGGGCCTTCGCTCTGTCGTTCATTAAGGCTCAGCACACTAGCAGGCCGGACCTCATGATGCTGGCAGGGACTGGCACAATTTCCTGTTACTGGAATATCCACATACCTCGCTATACATTTATCCTTCCCTATGGTACTCCCTTATTGCACTACACCATCATGATTATGTAACATTGATTATGTCATGTTCATGGGCCGATAAGTTCATACATGATATAGTCATCTGCTCTGATACATGCCTCCAAGGAAGAAGCCCAGGCATTTTTCTCCAGATTTCGAGGCGACTGCTCAGTGAAGCTCAAGACCTAATTGTGGTGTTTGCAGCCATGCAGCACAACTGCAAAAAGTTGGAGAAATGGTTGCTGCCCCAACAAGGAAACGACTGAAGGGTGACGATCTTCAAATCAGCAGCTCAGAAGAAAATCCTATGGCGCCTTCACAGCTTCAGAAAGGGAAAAGAAATGTAATATGAATTTATTTTGACTATGTTTAAGCTAATTTTTTCAGCCTTCTGCAAAACCTTGCAGCATTCCCAAGACGAAACAGAACAAATGCAGGATAACAGGAAGCAGTCAGCATCCTCAGGCCCCTACTTCCCATCCGAATCCATATGTGGCTCACCCTTCCGAAAGGTTCAGATTCAAGGAAACACAGTCCAGTGGTTGCGAAATGGTTGAGCGGCACATGGGTCAGCCAGACACAAGCTGTGAGAGGGAGCCAAGTCATGAGAGGGAGTCCGTGGAACATGATAGTGGTCGCCAGAAGGACAGGCAGGATAGTACGGATGATGACAGGGAGTTTCTGCCCTGCTCTCATGAACGTGATGAGTCTGATGATGACAATGCTGACCGCGATTTTCACAGCAATACGCAGATGTAAGTGTTCTTCTGTGTCGCTTATGTGCTTCCTGATATTGTGTTCTCATTGCAGTGATAGAGATGTTGGCCAGGACATGCTTCATTGAATGGACGACACAGGCGACACAATGGATTTCGACAAAAATCTGGACCAATCTTTTCCTGACAATGAAGCTCGGGGGGATTCTCAACAAGTAGATCCGGATGGCGAGGCCACAGATACAGAGCAGGATGAGGTATTTGCATTTTCCCTCTCAATTCCTGCATTGATTATATGTACTCGAGGTTTATGATATTCTCGAGTGTCATCATGCAAAGAACGGGCAGTGCAAAGCTCCTTCACCACACTATTTATCTAAGGGGAAGGCAAGGGAATATGCAGGTACTTTCAATCACTCAGAATCCCCTCAGCGCCCATCCCAACATGGTTGTTCTAAATCTTCTCGCCCACACTCTCCTCAACGCATCAGGCCCTCAAAGTACCCTCGTCGATACCCTTTATCTGGAGGAGTTTCTGCTGTTCGATCAGTTCACAACAATCATCTCAGCAAGTCAGATATGCACGTGCTTCATCCTTGCATACACAGTCTCCTCTTTGGCGCCCATCTCGACCAGTTACTTCGTCAAGTCGCAGTCACATGCAGCCCACCTCTCATGGATGCTCTCCGTCACGCTCTCTATCTGAGTCTACTCTGGCTGAAAACTGTGAACGCTCTTGCAGTGCTACACCCAAAGACGCTCGTCGATCTGGCAATGGCAAGTGGAAGGTCAAGACAAGCCAGGAGAACCCTTTGAAGCTAGGATTCTATCCACCCACTTGGCAAGTATTCCTGCAGGCGGCAAAGTTAGAGATGCGGTTGCAGGCCGTTCTATCCCACCCAATTCCAGAGTCCCAGGACACCCTCAGCCTGGCTCGAGAAGTCTTGGACACCGTGCTATGGATATACCACGAGAAGAAGAATAAACTCGAGAGAGGTATATGCTCCTTACACCACTGTCTACCATTCTCATGTATTTTTTTCAAGGTTACTTTCCAGAGTACGACATTGAGATGTGCTGGCTGGTATGTTCTTACTTTATTAATGGCGAATGCACTCGCTGATAGTTGATGAGCTGTGTGATGACCTCTTCACGTTCCGCACAGAGCTCAAAAAGGTCATTATCCCTATTGCAAAAAGGGCATATGATATCTCCTCACAGGGCTCCGCGATGCGAAAGGAGGAGGCTCAAAAGCATGTCACCGCAACTGCTGCTAGGCTCCTCAAGAGCGGTGACTACCTCCGGCTCCCTGACTCATCTGATGTAGGTCGTGACTCCTAGTAATAGCACAATTTACATTTAATTCTCGCAAAGAAAATTCAAGAATTTCACATCGCAGGCTCTCAAGGACGCTTGTCTCGAATTCTACTACAGCAACAGCAAGAAAGCACTAAAGAACACAAATGAATTCCACCGCACAATCCCCATCAATGTGATGCTTCTTGTAGCAGCAGTGGTATGCTTGTTTTTTTTCCTTTCGTCACTGATGATTCGACAGTTGAAGGGCATTATCTCTGGCTTTCGGGAGACTGGCACTGACAAGGTTCCTGATCTCACCACTGAGCAGTGCAGGATCCACTTTTTCAATCTATGGAAATCAGTTGACAAACTGCTCGACATTCCGGAGCACTGCGATGAACTTGAAGACATGTTGGACCAATAGGCTAGGATTGGCATGGGCGACTTTGATGAGTATGCAGCTGGGAGTGCAACGGGCAGCGACACGGAGGACATTAACATCATACTTTAATTACCATGTTTTTGTTAGACAATCATTACAGGTTATGTGAGCCTTACAAGGCGCTATGTCATGTTATCTGTGTGAAGCCTGTGATTAAATGTATCCTTGGTGCACTCTGTATTGTCTGTACACTTTGTATTGTCTGTATTGTCTGTACAGTGTGTGTTGTCTGTACAGCCTGTAATGAGATGTACAGATTGTAGGAGCATGTGACATCATTGTAAAGGGGAGACTTCCTTGTGTAACTGTAATGTCTGTACAATAATGTACAATCTTGTACAGTATTGTACAGGTGCCCCCTAGTTTGCTGATGCTTTCTCAGCGGTCAATTTTGATAATCATCTTGTTGCAGGTGTACATGTAGCCCAAGTTTGCGCTATTTTCACCCTACCTCGCCAGTTCGGTGCATATTCCAGAGCCCTCGCCTACGTCGAGTGGTTCACTCCTTTCAAACCACCAGACCCTGTTTCTCGAATGCGACAGGTCTCGCGCTCAACACGACAACTTTGCTGCAATGCCGCTGTAATCCACGTTGATGAAATTGTGCAGCCGTGCCACCTTATACCAAAGATGGGACCAACAGTAGATTTGAGGTTGAGAAGTGGAAATGCATATGAGGTGGCGAACGATTTTTATTTCAACAAGTTCATTGATGGCGAAATGTTTTGCGCATGTGTTATAAGTAATTAGATACAACAATGTGTAGCTCCTGTAGCTACCTGTAGCTAGGGTGGTAACTATATAGCCGCATATAGCTTGCCTTTAGACTATATAACACTATATAGGACAATGTAGTGTAAGGTGTGACTACATAGTGCTATATAGCTGTCACTCAGGCTATGGCATTTAGGGTTTTTTACTGATGAAGCTGGAATGGAAGATCATGTATGGGAACTACAGAGAGGTCCTTATGGTATGAAACAAGGTGGCCTCATCTGGAATTGTACCATGAATAGTGTGATGCTTTCCTGGGGTTTTACACAGCTTCAGTGTGAGCACTGCATATACTATCGGTGAAACGATGCTGGTATTCTCCTCGTGGCAACTCACGTCGACGATTTCTTTACCATTGGAAGTACAAAGGACATCATTTCACAATTCAAGTCTCAACTTTGTATGAAATGGACAGTGTCGGACCTTGGTGAGGCGCGTTTTTGCCTAGGTATCGCGCTCAACCGAGATTGTCCCTCCCGCACAATAAGACTCTCCCAAAGCGCGCTCATTGATAAAATTGTTAAGCAATTCGGACTTACCGATGCCATCCCCATCACCACCCCCATGGAACCAGGCTTGCACCTTTCCCGCAAGGACCATGCACCAACCACTGATGATGAGCGCGACTTGATCAGCCACACGCCATATTGCTCGCTCGAAGGGTCACTCATGTACCTGGCGATCGGAACACGACCTGATATCGCTTATGCAGTACAACAGCTCTGTAAGTTCCTGGACAGTTATGGTCGTGCTCATTGGGAAGCTGCAAAGCACGTTGTACATTCCTTAAGAGGATGCATGAGACTTGCCTTGTCCTTGGAGTGTTACAACTTGGATGGTATCTGTTGGCGATGCTCAAACAGAGCGTGTGTCGTCAACGGTCAAGGACGTCCTTGGGCTAGCCCAAGGTTAGGGGTCTTACTTGGCGAGGCTTCGGCAAGTAAGATTTGACGCCTATGTCCAAATCAGGTAGCTTATGTCAAGCGGGTGCTAGATGATGAGCTGTATCTGCCAAGGCTTACGACACCCGAAGGTTAATCGTAAGATCGTCGTTAATTAGAAGGACAGGAGTCCGACTAGTTAACAGGGGCTTTGCTCGTCGACGAAGTCGATGAGTAAAGATCGAGACTAAGGACTTATCCATGAAGAGCAGATAAGAAGATAGAATATAGACTGCTGGCTAGGCAGAAGGAATCACTCTGGTGAGAGTAGGAGGTCAAGAACCAAGTAGATTCAAGTTAGAGAATATAGTACATGGTAGTGAGTTTATATAGAGGAGAGGAAGCGTATTAGTGAGTGATAACTTGTACTACCAAGAGAGGTAAGCGGTCAAGGGTAAGACCATAAAAGGAGAGCACGTTCGAGGTAGGACACAAGTGAACATGAACGTGTTGATAAGAAAGTGAGTCAGAGATCGAAATAAGAAGTGAAACACGCAGGGGCACAATTGTGCAACTGCAGAACTAAGTATAAGTACACATGCGCAACTGCGCACCGAGTCATAGATCAAGAAAGGAAACTGGGCGAAGGGGACGCAGCATACGTCGTATCATAGGTTACCATCTGGACGGTAAGGGCGATGGGACTGTCCACAGGATCAGTCAGGTGGTGGGATGGAGCATGGGTATGCTTCGTCATCAAAAGGGTCTGGCCAGATGTACTGGCTTTGTTGAAGCAACAGGTAGAGAGTGAAAGGAAATGCGAGGATGATGAGGATAACAAGGGCGAGGTCGGGGTAAGGGTGTGATGTGAGGGCTGATACGAGGAGAATGAGGAGAAAAATGGTAGGGGCCCAAGCGTCTAGATGTTCTTGTAACACGGAGGTGAACACACTGCATGGCTCCTCGGATACACGGACAGTGACTTGGTGAGTTGCGTGGACACTTGGCACTCTGTTAGCGGATATTGTTGCACCCTTGGCACCGGCGTCATCACATGGAGTGCACGTCAACAAAAGACGGTCTCCCTCTCCACTTGTGAAGCGGAATATGTGGCAGCTTCGGAGGCCGCCTGCGAGATCAAATGGCTTAGAACACTCCTCGGTGAGCTCAAATTCACACAATTAGCCGCCACTCCCCTACTATGCGATAACAATGGCAGTATCATCTTGTCCGAGGACTCCTCGTTCCACGCACAAGTTAAGCAAATCAACATTAAGTATCATTCAATCCGGCAGCATGTTGAGCAAGGTCGTTTGAAGCTACACTACATGAGGTCGAAGGACAATCTCATGGATATTTTCACAAAAGTGCTCCCCCGCAAAGACTTCAAACGTCTCCGGGCATGTTTAGGACTCCGGTAAAGCAATTGAGGAGGAGTTATACATGATGTTCGCATCGAGGAGGAGTGTTAGCACACGTCATGTGCATGTGAGCGATACAAACATCGTTTGCAGAGTTTAGAGGTTGGAATACCAACCACGGACAACATATATATATCTTACCTTCCATCATTCCCATCTTCCCTCAGTCCATTACATCAGACTGAGTGTAAGTCGCTCATTATCATCACACCGTACCTAGATTACTCACATATCACTCATACATCAGGAAAACCCTCCCCAGACAAATTTACTTAAAGATGTAACATTAGAACTAATCCTGCGTTATTATATCTAAATTTTACAAATTCAAGTTTTAGCTAGCTTAGGTCGGTTTTTTTACCCCCTAATAAGAACACAAGAATTAGCAACTATTTTCACTAATTCAAACACATTAGCATGACTTTTAGAATTGATTTTTTGATCTTAGACGAGGGTTCCAACCAAATCAGACAGAATAAGATACAAGAACAAAATTAAATTTGATTAAAAATGGGTATATGGGCAGTAGGTTAATTTAAATAACAGTGCGCGCTATGACCAACTGGGAGACTATGTATCAGCTTCACAATTCCATATTGTACACTATGAAAACGAGCGGGGGATGATTCAGTCTTCTTCCATATTGTTGAGGTCAAGTAACTCAAATGCTTCGAGCTCAGCAGCATGGCCACCGGCAGTGGCGCAGCTGTATTGCAACTTCCTGCAAGCAAAGTGAGCATTGAGGCAATACTACCTAAGTGGAACTCACTGTGCAGCCTCATAGATGTTGGCCATCATACAGTGGAATTTTGCAGGTGCGTCCTTCTTCAGGTTTTCCAGGAACCTGACATGGTAGTTGTATGTCTCGCTGAATAAATTTCCTGTAAAGTTGAATTTCGATGATGAACCTTGCAACTTCCACAGAAGGGCTGCATACACCTTTGCAACGAGTTAAACAGCACATCTGTACAATGACGACAAGCACATTACCGCAGTTGCAACCAATGCCAGCAAAGGGATAGGGACTTTGGGGTGCTGGCCTTTGTTGTTGGTGATTTCGACGAAGTGTTCCGCAAATTTGATGGCAATGGATTTCGAGCTATGAAAGAGCTGCCGATATATTAGGAAAATTAAGAGTTCACCGTGGTAGGGCTTCTTTCCAATGGGCGAAGCCTCATTATTGATCTGTATAATTTCAACAATGTCAGTAGTACAGGCAAGGGGAGAGATCTCACATCAAACTTCAAGGTGTATATATATGCAAACTTATCCAATAGCCTTCTCACTGCAGCTTTCCCAGTATCAGTGTGTCCAAGGCGAAAGTAACCATCGGCATGTGCACATGCATCTTCCTTCAGCTCACGGCGCAATATTGGAACACGAGCATCCACCTCGCATATGGTTAGAGACTGATATGAAAAGGTGCGAGTTGAACTCACCAAGCTACTGAGTTGTGACGCATACCGTTTGTCTGATTGAAGATGTTCTTTGATTGAATGTGCACCACGTTTTTTGGCGACTACTATCAATGCTTGCAGTGCGACTTGGTTCTTGTCGACCAGTTCAGGATAGCCGTTGGCGAAATAAAGGTGGCACTTGACTTCCACAATTGTGGACTGAAGAACTCTATGAGTCTCTAAGTTCTGATCAAGTAATTTCACCTTTCCGCTTTCTGTTTTAATGAGCAAGGCGATACTCCGAGTCTTCGCGTCAGAAGTAAGTTTCTGAGTCGGTGCAGTGCCTTCATTGTCAGAAAGTTGAAATTCTGATGAGTCACCACCAGTCGAGCGATCTTCAATGGACTCCAAAACTGCACATTCGACATCCATATTGGCCCAG